CAGGCTTCCTTCCTATGTCTCACTCTTGGACAAAGCTTCACATCTGACATTTTAAAGCCATCTGTCACTTCCAAGAGCATCCCTGGGTAGGAACCGCTGCCAAGCCCTTATTCTGCTGGAGCGAGTGCTCAACAGCAATCTGGCAATATATTCTAGAAGCACAAGTGTGCGTGCCCTTTGATCCAGGAAATCAACTTCTAGGAATGCGTGTGACAGACACTGTCCCACACGTGGGAAATAGCAGGGACATGGTGACCCAGGGCAGCACAGTTTGCAAGTGCAAAGGGGTGGAAACACCCAAAAGGCCCATGCCCATCCTCTGAGGACAGGCTGAAAAATGATGGTGCATTCATGCAACGGAATACAACATAGCATACAACATTCAACATAGAATGAATGAATGAGGCAGCTCGCTATGTCCTCATATGGAAAAATATCATCAAGATAGGTTGCTAAGTGAAAAACAGGAAGAGACAGAACACTACTACCATTCTATTTATTCAATGGGAGAGGGAGGAATAAGGAAATTGATTCATATTTGCCTAATTGCACAAGCTTCCAGAATATTCTTTTGCATCCAGAATTTGGAAAGCCGCAGCAACGGTAGGATGCACACCGAAGAATTATAATAGGCCTATTGGAGATATCCATTCATTCACTTATTTACTCTTTAAAAAGATATTTCACTCTAAAAAAATAAAATAATAATTTTTTTAATTAGCCAGGTGTAGTGGTGCATGTCTGTAGTCCCAGCTATTCGGGAGACTGAGGCAGGAGGATTGCTTGAGCCCAGGAGCTGGGGGTTGCAGTGAGCTATAATGACGCCATTGCACTCCAGCCTGGGCAACAAAGCAAGATCTTGTCTCTTAAAGAAAAAAAATTAAATTGAATTAAATTAAAATTAAAGCAACTGGTTCTAACACTCAAGGAATTTGGAGTCTTGACAGGGAGACACACGCAAACAAGCGGGTATGCCCAAACAAACTTGCTTTGCCTTCCAAGCCTGCTTCTCTGACTGCCTTTCCTATCTCAGTTAAAGGCAGTTCCTTCCTTCCTCAGGCCAGAAACTTAGAGTTTTCTGTGACCTCTCTCTCTCTCTCTCTTTCATGCCCCTCATCCAATCCATCAGCAAATCCCTTCGCCGCCACCTTCAAAATATACGCGTAGTATCCAACCACTTTTCACTGGCGCCCCTACAGCCTGCTCTCCACACTGCAGCCAGAGGGATCCCCCTCCAAAGTCCTCCTGTCTCCTCCATTCTTTACCTCCCGCTGCAGGATTGCATCTGGCTCCTTCTTACCTGTCCGATGCTATTTCTCACTCGCCTTATCACTCTAGCTCCACTGGCCCCTTTGCTGCTCCTCCAATCGTCATGCAGCTTCCTGCCTCAGGGCCTTTGCACTTGCTGTGCCCTGTGCCTGACATGCTTACCCCCAGGCATTTTCCGAGTTTACTCCAGTTAGAGCTCTGCTGAAACTCACCAGCTCATAGATGATTTTTCCATCAGTCGGCTCTCACTAGATGTTGTTGCAGTAGTAAACAACTCTAAAATCTTGGTTGGCTTACACCATTAATTGCTCACTCATGTTGCACACAGCTGGCTGGCTGTGGCCCTTCTGCACCCGTCTTCTCCCTCCCAGGATCGTGGCATTGATCCTGGTCGAAGGAGAAGAGCACTGGATGAACCAGGCCACAGCTTCAAAACTTCCGCTCAGCATCAGCCCGCCTCACTTCTGCTCACAATTCATTGGCCAAAGCAAGTCATACGACCAAGCCTGCCGTCAGCCGGGCAGGGTACTAGAATCCTCTCTCCCTTGCAGAGACAGAAGCAAGTAACTGGGAACGATTATACAATCCACCAAACCTTCCCTGACCACACTGCACTGGCCCATGCCCCTCTAGAATTCTCCATCACCCACTCTCAGTTGCAAACAATAGACACCACTGACTAGGTACAGCAGGAAAGCTAGGGTAGCTTCCAGAACATCTGGGAGGACCAGAGGGCGAGACTGAGCTGTACAGGAGGAAATTATGCCAGCAGCCCATGGGGATGTCTCTGGACCAGACCCCAGAAACTTCACCCCACCCTCACCCCAAAGGACCAGAGGCAGGGCCACCGTGCGGCGCAATTCCAGGGCAGTATCCACACCGTTGGCTATGGGGTTCCCTGTGAATACGGCGTGAATGGCTATCTTTCCCCTCTTCCGTCCTAGCATGGGAGCTCCAGGAGGGCAGGGACTTTGTCTCTTGCTCATGCTGCGTCTTCAGCACCTAAGACAGGACCTGGCACATAGTAGGTGCTTGACCAATATGTACTGACAGGATGAATACAAGAGATGAAAGGCCCAAGGTGGGGAAGTCCGGGGGACTGTAGGAGCGAGAGGAGGGTCATTTCAATGAGATCTCAGGGCTCAGAGGTGGGGAGGGGTCACGAGGGGTTGCCAGGGCAACCGCAGAGCTCCTTAGCCCAACCCTCCCATCCCAACTGGCAGCAATTTCCCTCCATCAAATCCTCCTCCCACCCTCATGCAGACCTTAAACAGGACATTTTATTTAATGCAGCCTTTTTTTTTTCCGAGACAAGGTCTTGCTCTGTTACCCAGTAGTGTCATTATAGTTCACTGAAACCTGGAATTCCTGGGCTCAAGCGATCCTCCTGCCTCAGCCTCCCCAGTAGCTAGGACTACAGGTGCACGCCACCACACCCAGCTACATTTCTTGTATTTTTTGTAAAGACAGGGTCTTCCTAATTTGCTCAGACTGGTCTTGAAATCCTGGCCTCTGGCCGGGCATGGTGGCTCACACCTGTAATCCTAGCAGTCTGGGAGGCCGAGGCAGGTGGATTGCTCGAGGTCAGGAGTTTGAAACCAGCCTGAGCAAGAGCAAGACCCCGTCTCTACTATAAATAGAAAGAAATTAATTGGCCAACTAATTATATAGAAAAAATTAGCCAGGCATGGTGGTGCATGCCTGTAGTCCCAGCTACTTGGGAGGCTGAGGCAGCAGGATTGCTTGAGCCCAGGAGTCTGAGGTTGCTGTGAGCTAGGCTGATGCCATGGCACTCACTCTAGCCTGGGCGACAAAGTGAAACTCTCTCAAAAAAAAAAAAAAAAGAAAGAAAGAAAAGAAAAGAAAAGAAATCCTGGCCTCAAGCAATCCTCCCGCCTCGGCCACCCCCACTCAGAGTGCTGGGATTACAGGTAAGATCACCCATGCCAAGCCTAATTCGGCCATTTTGACAGCATGGACCTTTTGGCCTTCCCAAGTATTTGTTGACCCTTTTTGGGAGAGAGGATGGCCAGGAATACCAGCCAGCAAAGCCCCTACCCACCCTGCTGACCCTCACCACATCCTGGTCCCATCTCTGACTTCATCCCACCCTTCACCCCACCCTCGGCCCTCACCCCTGCCTTGATTCTGCTGAGAGCCTGCATCATTCTCATTACATGGGATTGTTCAAGACCAAGGCTTTCATGGTTTGTTTTCAGGCCAATGCCCCATTCCTGTCACCAAGGAGTCAGATGCCCAGTGGGGAAGAGGCAGAGGATGGGGGGAGGGGACCCCAAACATGAAACCCAAACATCAGCAGGTGAGGGCGGCCTCTGACCACCCAGAGCTCGGGGAAGAGGTGCTGGGGCCAGTGGGTCTGGGGAACCCTGAGACGTGGGGGAACCCCAGACGGTGACGGCATCGTCCAGAAGAGGAACATAATGGCAGCCACAGGTTCCCAATCAGTAAATAGCAGAGTGAGGTACCAGAAACTTCAGAGATTTCCAAGAGCGTGGCGTTGGGGCTGTGAGCATGCATGGGATCCAAGGAGAACAGAGCAGCTGGGGACAGAACCCTCCAGACCCTCCAAAACCCAAAGAAGGAATTTTGTAGAGATATACAGGGTGTCACCGACCAGCGCCAGGGCTCTAGTTGGTGCAGATGAGGGTCCTGGCCAGGAGGGACAGGAGGAGGGCAGGAGTCTCTGAGGCGCTGTCTCTGGGCATCTGGCTCTCTGGGTCCCTCTGTCACCTCTCATTCCTCTCTCATCTTGCTCTGATTATCCTGCGTCTCTGTCTCTTTCACCTCTCTCTGTCTCTCATCTCTGTGGCTCTCACCCGCTGTGGCTACCTTCATGTCTCTTTCTCTCTCCCTGTCTCTGTCCCTGTCTCTCTCTTTCTTATCCCTCCCTATTTGTTCGTTTTGTAACCCTGATCGCCCCAGACAGTGATGGTGTCCTGAGTCTTAATCTGTTTAGGGTCTGTTTCCCGCCACTAGAACACGAGACTAGTGGAGGCAGGGATTTTTCTCTGTAATATATTCGACTGTATTCCTAGCACCTGGAATTCTGCCCGGCTCAACAAATATGTTTAAGGAAGAATGAATAAGTCACTATCCTCATGAACATTATTTGACAGCAACCGTGAAGCAGCAATAATAATTGTCCTTGTTCCGGCACTTGTTGGCCTAGCTGCTGTGTGTCGAGCGCCAGGAACTGGCCTAAACAGTTTTTTGTTCAAGCCTCATAGTACTTTATACCATTAGCACGCCCATTTTTCGGATGAGGAAACTGAGGCCCCGTGGGGAGAAGTAACTCGCCGCGTAGGAGCCCAGGCCTCGCCTGCCTCCCAAGCCCGCGGGTTTGGGCTGAGTGGAAGGACATCCTGGGGGCTCAGAGCTCAGGATCCGTCCTGAGCAGGAGCTGGACTCTCAACTCTGCCTCTAAGCGGCCGCGAGTCTTTATTCTGCCTTGATTCTGCCGAGCTGGGTCTGTCTGCATGCCTCAGTTTCCCCGCCTGTGAGCCGCGGGCGCCGGGCGCCACGGAGCAGGCGCGGAGGAGGGGCAGGGACCGGCACTGCCGGCCGGGCCAGCGGGGCGGGCGAGGCCCCTCCCGCGCGTCCCCGGCGTGGACGTAGGCGCCGCGGGCTTCCCCTTCCGACCCCGCAGGGCGGCGCGGCCACCGGGGGTTCCTGCGCGGCGCGCGGCATCGGCACTCGCGGCCCGGCCGGCGAGCGGGGAGGAGCCGCGCCCGCCCGGGCCCAGCTGCCCGGCATGGCCGGACGCCCGCCCTCCGCGCGGCTGCCGCTGGTGCTGTGGCTGCTGTCGCTGTCCTGGTCGCCCTCCCGAGCCGGTGAGTGACCCCCCACCTCCCGGGCGCGGTTGGGGGGCCCCCGCCCCGCCCCCGCCCCGTCTCTCCGCGCCCAGCCGGCCGGCTCGCGGCTCTGGGGTTGGGGGGGGATGTCCCTCCGGGACCGAGCGCCCCGACCCGCACCTCCGCCCTCACCCCACTCCGCCGGGGTTGGGACGGACGCCGGCCGGGCGGGGGCCGGACCCTCCTCTCTCCGCCGGGAAGCCGTCGCAGTTGGGTCCCGAGATTTCCCCAGAGGCCCGGGGTCTCCGGGAAAACCAGCCGAGCGCGACTCACGCAGGGTCGCCCTGCCTCCCGCTCCTGCTCCCGCGCCGCGCCCCTGCAGCCTGCCTCCTCCCGACCCAGCACGGCCGACAGGGGCAGGGGTCCCCCGCCCGGCCCCCGCTGGCTCCCAGGGCCTGGCCGTTCATTCATCCCTAAATCCATAATCCATCCCGGCACGTTTTGAACACCTGCTGCATGCCAGGCAGCCTTCCAAGTGCCGAGGATTCGGCTTTGAGATCAGACGGCCCTGGTTTCAAAACTCAGCTTTTGGCATTTAAAACCTGTGTGGCTTCGGGAAAGTGACCTGAGCTCTCTGTTTCCGTGAAATGGGGGTGGGGAAGATCGGCCTTGTAAGGCTATGTCTTGGGAGAGTACCTGGGCTGGGGGTTCAAAGTTCACTTACTCAGGGCCACACAGCGAGGCAATGGTAGAGCCCGCATTTGAACCCAGACCCCAGACCAGCGTGCTCAACTCCCCACCATTACCTCGTGTCCAAACTGTGCCCTCCCTCCACCCAGCACTGGCCCAGGACCTTGGTCTACTAACGCCCCCACCCCACTTCCTCTTCCTCATAAGTTATCATGATTATAATCACCATTATATAGTGCTTATCATCATTTATTTCATCATTTAATCCTCCCAACAACCCCTAATATCACCCCCATTTTACAGATAAGGAAACTGAGGCTCAGAGGAGTGAAACCATTTGCGCAAGGGCCCACGGCCACCGTGCTGGGGCTGCGGTTCAAAGCACTTTACTCCTGCCCTCCTTCTCCGGATCTTATTATTATGAATAAAAGTGCACAGGATTATGACATATTAATGTCACTAAGAGCTAACACAGGATGAGGACCCCCTGTCTGCTGGGGCCCTCGGCAGGAAGATTTTCGTATAGGCTCTGGCGGATTAGAGGTCAGGCTCTGAGTACAGATGGCCCAGGTTCAAATCCCCGGTCTGCTGATAACCGCCCCTGCATGATTTTGAGGAAACCGCAGTCTGTTTCCTTCTCCCCTTCTATCAAGGGATGCTAATGAGATTGCTTGAGGTTAAATGCTGAGAGATATTCGAACCGCTAAAAATAGCTACTGATCTGTGTTCACTGTAATAAGTCCCATTTTACAAACTAGGAAAAAGAATCACAGAGAAGTTAAGTAACCTGCCTGAAGCCTCACACCAGAGATCAAAACCCTGGGCTGTAATTGTGTCGCTCCCTGTGACAGGACCCACCACACCCGTCCCCCCACCGCCACCCAAACTTTCTCCCAGTCTGAGTCCATCCAGAGTAACACCGTATTTCATGGACTCTAAGCCCCACAGTTGCTTCTCGTTTTCCACACTGGGGATGCTCTAACCAGGGACAAGGAGTTGTGCTGTAAGTGACAAGTCATGTACACTTTAAAATGGCTTACATGGTAAATTTGATGTTTTGATTTCCAATTTTAAAAATCGACGATGGTGAAATAGAGAAAATACTTTAATAGTAGCAGGAAATACGGTAATGGCAGCCGCGGCGAAGGCGCGACTGAGGCCGGACCGGGTTGCAGACTCATCCCGGATGCCCCAACCTTCCTCCCTGGCCCCGACCCCTGGGGGCTGCGGGCCCCAGTCTGCAGGTGCACGCCCAGGTCCCTGGCGACCCTGTCTAGGCTGGGGGCGCCGGGGTCTGACCTGCCTCTGGTTTCGCCCCCAGGAACGGGGACAGTCGAAGTGCAAGCGCCGGCCCAAGTGCGTGGCCTTTTGGGCGGCAACGTGACGCTGCAGTGCCACCTCCAGCTACCGGATTCCAGCGTGCAAGTGACGCAGGTGACGTGGATGCGGCGGCAGCAGCCGGCGGGGCAGCCCAGCAGCGTGGCGGTCTACCACCCTGCTCGGAGGGCCTGGTACTTCGACCCGGAGCGGGTGCAGTTCCCGGCTGCCAGGGCGGGCGGCGAGCTGCGCGACGCCTCGCTGGCGGTGTCCCAGCTGCGGGTGGAGGACGAGGCCAACTACACCTGTCAGTTCGCCACCTTCCCACACGGCAGCAGGAGCGCCAGCACCGCGCTCCAGGTGCTCGGTGAGCAGGAGGGGCCGCGGGCCAACGAAAGGAGGGGCTGGGGGAGGGGAGGAGCAGGGAGGAGGAGGGGCTGGCAGGGAGGGACAGTCCCTCCACCGCAGGGACTCTGTGGGGACGAAAGGAGGGCGGGGCAGTTGGGGGTGCAGAATGGGAGGAGGTCGTGGGGTCCCCGCTGGGCAGGGGAACAAAGATCTTTTTGAAGACTGAAAGCAGAATGTCCCAGGGGGGAGGGGAGGGGACATCGGGAGGGACCTGGGAAGGAAGGAGACCTGGGTGGTTTCTTCTGGGTCCGCCCTTTTCTCTTCAGTACGAGGGCTGGGGACAGTAGTGCCGCCCTCAGAAAGCTGCCCAGTCCTGAGGGTCCTGGTGGGTCTACCCACAGGAAGCGCTTAGAACAGAGGTGCTTCCTGGGCTGGCCCACTGCCAGCCTCTTAGCACGGCCAGTTATTGTCACTCCCTTTGGTGAAGAAGGAGGAAGTTGAAACAGAGACAGGTGGGAGAGCAGGGATCCTGGCTCCCTGGAGTGAGGGGTTCACTTACACAAGCACCATAGTGTCCTCCTGTTGGGACTTGAGCAAGCGGTCTCTGTGCCTCAGTGTCCTCAGCGGTGGGATGGGAATCGCCATGAGGATTCATAAGAGCTGACCTTTTTCTTTTCTTGGCTTATGTGCCAGGAGCTGTTCCAGGCCTGGGCATGAGGAACTCATGATGTCAAGGGCCCGGAATAGTTCCTGGCACTCAGCGCCAGACCAAAAGCAGCTCTTGTCACTCTAACCGGCCTGGGATTCCAGGCATTATGGTTTAAGAGGAAGGTCAGACAGAAACTGTGAGTCAGGTTAAGGAGAAATCTTAAGTAAATACGAACACAGGTCACAATGGGGGAGGAACTTAGTGAAGCCCCAGGCTTGGGAATCACCAGAATTGGTCAAGGTAGTTTTGGAGTCAGACAGACCTTTTGCTTATAGCTGCGTGACCTTGGGCCAGTCACTTCCCCTCTCGACTTCCAGGGCTCAGCCCCCCCTGGCCCCCAGCCTCAGGCTCAGGCACCCCCATCCCAGCCCTGCCCACTCTGGGTCTTTACCGCCTGGGGGAGAGTCTGCCTTCTCCTTGGACTGTGTACCCCAGGAGGTCAGAGCCAGGTCCCCAGCATTGCCCAATAAATAACATTTATTGAGCACTTACTATATGCCAAGTACCTGCATATTCTCATTGCCTGTGATCCCATCATTATCCCCAGTGGACAGATAAGGAAACTGAGGCACAGACTTGCGCAAGGCCACCTTGCTGCTCAGGGACAGAGCAGGGGTTTGAACCATGCCATCCTATACCCTTAATGAACACCCCTCTTCTGCTGCGGAGGGGTTTGTTGGATAACTGCCAGTCTGGGGTGACCTGTCCCTTTTGTTCCTCTCCCAGCCCAGCCCCAGAACACAGCCGAGGCCCAGGAGGTCCCACCCAGCCTGCTCACCTCGGGGCCTGTGCCCGTGGCCCGCTGCGTGTCCACAGGGGGTCGCCCGCCTGCCCGAATCACCTGGTCCCCAGACCTGAATGGAGTAGTCGATAAGAGCCAGGTGCCAGGGCCCCTGCCCGGCACATTCACCGTCACCAGCCTCTTGACCCTCAAGCCCTCAAGCCAAGTGGACGGCAAGAATGTCACCTGCACAGTGGAGCACGAGAGCCTGGAGGAGCCCGACTTGCTGCCAGTGACCCTCAACATGTCCTGTGAGTGTGCCCACGTGCGGGCCAGGGCCACAACCACTGCCAGGCCACCACCATCGCCCCTTCGTCTACACCGGCTCCCCAGGCCACTGTTGACATGTCTCTATCATCTACCCTCGCTTGCTGACTACTGTCTACACACCCCACCCCCAATTGTCTACACCAGCTCCCCTGGGCCACTAACAGCACTCTCCCTATTGTCCATACCAGCTACTTAGGCCACAGTCAACGCTGGTCATCTGCCCTGGTTCCCCCAGCCTCTGTCTACACTGATTCCCCATACTGTCTATACTGGCTTCCTGTGTTATGAGTGCTCAAGAGGCCTTTGCTCACAGGACACCCAAGACACACCTGGCCCAGGCGACTCGGGAAAACCAGTAGAGGAAGGCAGGCCCTGAGGAGCAGCCCTCTCTGTGTCCCCGCCCTCCCAGACCCTCCACGCCCGCTGTGCTCAGGCTGCTTCTGCTGTGGTGTCGACGGCACGCATCTTTAGACCCCTCCGAAGGCTCCTTGTCTCTGAACCTGTGTGTCCATCTATCCCCAGACGCCCCCGAGGTCAACATCTCTGGCTATGACGGCGGCTGGTACCTCGGCCAGAGTACAGCCACCCTGACCTGCAGCGCCCGCAGCAACCCGGCGCCTGTGCACTACAGCTGGAGCACGTGAGTCCCGGCGGACCCGATCCGGGTCTGGGGGGGAGGGGCTGGGACTGGACCCCTGGGTCTGAGGGGGGAGGGGCTGGGGCTGGACCCCTGGGTCTGAGGGGGGAGGGGCTGGGGCTGGACCCCTGGGTCTGAGGGAGGAGGGGCTGGGGCTGGACTCCTGGGGTCTGAGGGGGGGAGCGGCTGGCTGGACCCCTGGATCTGAGGAGGGCGGGGGCGGCGACCCCTGGTCTGATGGGGGCGAGGGGCTTGGGGCTGGAACCCTGGGTTGACCGGAGGAGGGGGCTGGGCTGGACCCCTGGGTCTGGAGGGGGAGGGCATGGGGCTGCACCCTGGGTCGAGGGGGAGGGGGCTGGGGCTGGACCCCCGTGGTCATGATGGGGGAGGGGCTGGGGCTGGACCTCCTGGATCCTGAGGGAGGGCTGCTGCACCCGTGGTCGTGAAGAAGGGGAGGGGCTGGGTGCACCCCTGGGTGCTGGAGGACGAGGGGCGGGGCTGGACCCCCTGGTCTGTAGGGAAGAGGGCTGGGCTGGACCCGGGGTCTGAGGAGACTGGGGGCTGGGGCTGCAACCACTGTCGGGTCGCGAGGGGCTGGAGGAGCTGGGGCTGGACCCTGGTCGGTGCTGAGGGGGAGCTGGGGCTGGAGCCCTGGCTGGGTCTTGAGGATGGAGGTGGGTCGGACGCCTGGGGTCTGGGGGGGGAGGGGCTGGGGCGGACCCCTGGTCTGAGGGGAGGGGCGGGGGCTGGAGCCCTGGGTCTGGGGGAGGGGCTGGGCTGGACCCCTGGTCTGGGGGAGGGTAGGGGCTGGGCTGGACCCCTGGGTCTGAGGGGGGGCGGGGCGGGCTGGACCCCGGGTCTGAGGGGGGAGGGGCGGGGGCTGGACTCCTGGGGCTGAGGGAGGAGCGGGGATTCAGGAAAGTAAAAAGAAAAAAAGTTGACTTTAGGCCCCTGGTAAAATTTCTGTCTTGGAACTGCAGAGTTCACTGGTTGGTCTGGTCCAGGCTCACAGATGCACCTGCTCTTTGGGGTGTCCCTGCTCTGTGCTCGTCCCCTCATCCCTTGTGACCAGGCAGTTGACACTGTCGCTGTGCCAGGTTAAGGATCAGCCAGGAGAGAGCAGGCACAGTTCTCGGGTCTGTGTCTGGCTCCAAACCCGATCGCCTCAGCCCCTGAGCTGTAACCTCGGCCCCGTCACCTGGTGTCACCTGCTCAGTCACCTCTGACGAAGCAAGTGCCATCCCTGTCGCCTAGATGAGAAAGTTGAGGCTCAAAGCAGTAAGATTTCCCCAAATTCATACTGAGGCTGGGGTTAAGAGGAGGGGAAGGCAAAGGTGAAGGGATGGATTATTTTACATAATTTTATTGGGCCTTTTTCCTCATTACAAAAATAACTTGTGCCCGTTGTAGAAACTTCAGACAGTACAGTTATGAGCAAGGAGAAGACGGTGACACCTGTAGTCAAGCACACCCAGCCGCTTCCAGAAATATCCACTATTACTCTGTTATATATCCTATCATCTCTGTGTTTCTAAACAAAAAGTAGAATTGTGCTGTAAGTACAATTTTGGAACTTTAACTTTTGAACACCTTTCCATGTCAAAGCACACAGTTCCCTCAATCTCACGTTCCCTGACATTTTACTAGGAAGATTATTATTTTTTGTTTTTTGAGACAGAGTCTCGCTTGTTGACCAGGCTAAAGTGAGTGCCGTGGTGTCAGCCTAGCTCACAGCAACCTCAAACTCCTGGGCTCAAGCGATCCTCCTGCCTCAGCCTCTCTAGTAGCTGGGACTACAGGCATGTGCCACCATGCCCGGCTAATTTTTTTCTCTATATATTAGTTGGCCAATTAATTTCTTTCTATTTATAGTGGAAACAGCGGTCTCACTCTTGCTCAGGCTGGTTTCGAACTCCTGACCTTGAGCAATCCGCCCGCCTTGGCCTCCCAGAGTGCTAGGATTACAGGCGTGAGCCACCACGCCCGGCCAACTAGGAAGATTTTTAAGCATACAGAAAAATCTTCCAGAATCTTCCAGGAAGCACTTAAAATTCCACGACATGGATTCTCCCCCGAACACCTTGCTGTGTTTGCTCTGTCACATCCTGTCCTGGAGTCCGTCCCTCTGTCCACCCATCAAGCTGCCTTGTCTTGAGTGCATCTCAAAGTGCCCACTGCCCCTTTGTGAATGTCATATGTGGAACTCGTCATATGTGCACGCCATCGATTATTTAACCGGTCCCTAACATGGGACACGAAGGTCGCTTTTCAGTTTTCACTCTGCAAATGCCATGGGGGTGACCAGCGCCCACCACTGTCCTCTGCGGCTAGTGCAGTCACTTGTCAGTGGGTGGAACTGCCCATCAATGGGGGTTGACAGATGGCGCCTTTACCGTCCCGTCTCCTCCCCCTCTGCGCATTGAGCAGTTCCTTGACTGCTTCCTGGGCGCCAGGTGCTATTGGCTAATAACCCCGACCGGATTTCCTCCCCTGCGGAGCTCCCGTCCTAGTGGGCAGAGGCACAAAAGCAAGATGAAGTCAACCGTGTGGCGTGTCCAGGGGCCATAGTGCCGTGGGAAAGTTGTAGCAGGCGGGGATGGGAAGGGTGGTCTTCGCGGTTGAAACAGGGTGGCCTAGGAAGGTGTCGCCAAGGTGACGTCCCAGCAGAGGCCTGAAGGAGGTGAGGGTGAGCTGTGCTTGTGTCTGGGGGAAAAGCATTCAGGCACAGGGAACAGCATATGCAAACCCATTTCTGTCCATCAGTCCCTGCATACGCAAACACCCTGGAAATCTGACTGGAGTGTTTGAGGGCCAGCAAGGAAGCCACTGCGGATGCAGAGACGGGAGGAGAGGGGAGAGGATGGCTAACGTGGGCAGAGGGGGCGAGGCAGAGCCACGGAGGGCTCTGAGCAGAGGGGGCGAGGCAAGCCGATTTAGGGTTCACGGGCGACCTCTGGTGGCCGTATATGGAACAGACAAGGGGGTCAGGGTGGAAACCGAGCCCAGCAAGGACCCCCACCCTGACCCCGTGCGGTGTCCAGGAGGTGGGCGTGGAGGCCCCGAGAAGCAGAGGGGAGGTGGGGCCGACGGGACTTGCGGATAGGCTGGATCTGGGCACGAAAGGAAGAGGACCCCGGGACTCCAGAGTTGCTCGCAGCTTACATCATAGAGGCCGAGAGGGTTTCCGGCCCAGAGTGCGTGCTCAATTACTGCCACCCTCGGCCTCCAGCAGGGACAACTCACTCACTTGTCTGTCTCTCCCAGGGCCGCTGGTCCCCTACCACCCTCCGCGGAGCCCCAGGGCCCCCAGCTCCTGATCAAGTCTGTGGACAAGTCGACCAACACAACTTTCATCTGCAACGTCACCAACGCCGTAGGGACCAGCCAGGGGGAGCTGACCATCGTGCTCAGTGGTGAGGAGCTCCCCGGGTGGGGAGAACAGAGGAGCCAAAGGGGTCGCTCTGAGAGAGAGGCCCGGGTGTGGCCCCTGGTGAAGGAAGCCCTGGAATGCTCTCTGACTCCCACCCTTCCCCTGGGCCCTCTCACGAAAGGGCCGACGGGGCCAGCTTTGCTCTCCTGTTAATGCAGTCTGTACCACTGGTACCATTGTTCAGCCATATGGATACACCCCCGTGACAAACCCAGGCAGGGGTAGCTGTGAGATGCCTTTTCCCAGGGACCCAGAAAGGCCTTTCCAAATATATTAGGCAGAACTCTATCAATTGCAATTGACAAAAGTACAACTCAAAATAGTCTAAGCCAAAAAAAAAAAGTATTGAAAATCACCTTCAGGTATGGTTAGATCCAGGTGCTCCAACAACCCAGGGACTTTTTTTTTTTTTTTTAAATATCTCTTATCTCTGCTTTTCTTTATGCTAGCTTTATTCTCAGGCAGGCTCTGTCCTTGGGGAAGCAAGATGGCCATCAGCAGCTACAGACTCACATCCTATCACTTTAGCAATCCCAGGGGAAAGAACACACCACTTTCAATCAGCTATAGCCAAAATCCCAGGGCTGGCTCTCATTGGCTCAACTTAGGCCATCCCCCACCTATGAACCAATCACAGCAGCCAAGGATAATGGGATGTTCTGATTGGCCAGGCCCTGAGTCAAAGTTATATGCTAGGAACCAGAGGGTGGGGTCAAGTCCACCTGCATCGTATAGACTGAGGGGGGTGGAGTGGTAGCTCCCTAAGGGAAATTCAAGGAGCCATTCCAAATGAGGGGCAACGTTTGGCAGGAAGGTGAAAACCCCAGAAGTTTCCTTACTGAAATACCTATTTCCTTCTTCTCTTCCAGAGCAGCCAGACCCAGACAGGTCCTCTGTGGTCACCATCGCCGTGTGTGTGACAATCCTGGTCCTTGTGGTGGCAGTCGTGCTGGGGGTGCTGCTGCTGATCCGGCGGTCCAGATCAGCCCGTGAGTTCCTTCTTATTTGGAACCCCCACCTGTCTGCCATGAACGAGCGTCACCAGAGGTGCCATAATTGAGCACCTACTATGTGCCCACCTCACATGCAGCCTGTCACTGAATCCTCACCCCAGTGCCATGAGGCTTCCCCCACTTGACAGATGAGGACACAAGACCAGGGAGTCTTGTTCATTGGTTCAGTTTACAAATATTTAGGGAGTCAGGGGAAGATCACACGGTCCTTGAGGACTTTGGCTTTTTAATTCGGGTGACATGGGAGCCCCTGCCAGGCGGAGGGGAGGTGGAATAGTGTTCAACCCCCAGCGTTAGTCCATCCACCTCGCTCGGGAGTGGCCTGGGGGCGAGGGGTGTGGCAGGAACGGCCCCCCACCCCCACCCCATCCTCTGCTCTAATAAGGGCCCGGTGCTTTCCAACCTCAACGGATTCGTGCAGGCCGGTCCCCTGCCTGGAGCGCCCTCCCATGGCACTTCCGGCAAAGCGGTCCGGCTCCTTCTGTAATCAGAAGAGCTACGTTTTACGTTTCACGGAGCACTTTCTGTGTGCAGGCACCTTCTGTGTACAACCTCCCTGAATGCTCACGGCCACCCAGAAAATTAGGTCCTCCGTGAGCCCCACTTTGCAGATGAGGAAGTGTTTTGCTCTGAGCAGTGAAATTATCTGACGGTCGCACAACTGGAAAGTGGCTTTTTCCATCAACCGCTAAACACAACTGCCCCTCACAGCCCAGCTGGATGCCTCCTCCTCCAGGAAGTCCTCCTTGACCCCCGGGAGTGGGCTGAGCACCCACTCTGGGCTCCCCGCCCCCCCAGCCTGGCCCACTCTGGGGCCTTGTCTGTCTTCACCAGGCAGAGCTGGTGCTGGCACGGTCACGTCTGTGTCCCCTAGCGCCACCTGGCAACGGGCCATGCACAAAGGAGGCACTGGAGGGAGTCTTTGCTGAGTGAATGTGTCAACTCCAGAGCCAGATGGCCTGTGTCTGGGCCCCCACTCTACTGCTTCATTAGCTATGTCACCATGAGCAAATGGCTTCATCTCTGTGACTCAGTTTCCTCATCTGTCGGGGGGCGCTGACTGTACCTGATAATATGGGCAGGGCACTCGGCGCAGCATTTGGCACATTGTAAGCCACGTGCTGGGTATCTGTTAGCTGTGACTGTCATTGCTGTTGTTAGTATTATTATTATTATCATTAACATAAGCTCCATGAGAGCGGGGATTTTTGTCTGTTTTATTCACAGCTATGTCCCCAGCGCCTAGAATGCTCCTGGCACAAAGTAGAGATTTACCACTTGCTGAATACTACTAGTATTTGCTGGAACAGACCCCTCTTTGATAGTGGAGGAACCTGAGGCAGAGGCACAGAGAGGTTAAGTCATTTTTCCAAAGTCACACAGCTCCTAAAGAACAGAGATGGGATTTGAACCCATGCAGAGCCCATGCCCAATGAATACTTATTTATACTTAATAACCAAATGGCTAACTGGATGACCTAATCCTTAAAGAACGTGCACCCCACCCCTGGCTGACAAACGTATAAACCACTGAGGGAAGTGATGCCCGCATGGAATAACAGAGGCAGGAATTAGAAGTTTGGGGACCCTGGCCGGGCGTGGTGGCTCACGCCTGTAATCCTAGCACTCTGGGAGGCCGAGGCGGGCAGATTGCTCGAGGTCAGGAGTTTGAAACCAGCCTGAGCAAGAGCGAGACCGCTGTTTCTCACTATAAATAGAAAGAAATTAATTGGCCAACTAATATATAGAGAAAAAAATTAGCCGGGCATGGTGGCGCATGCCTGTAGTCCCAGTTTAGGGAGGCTGAGGCAGGAAGATCGCTTGAGCCCAGGAGTTTGAGGTTGCTGTGAGCTAGGCTGACGCCACGGCACTCACTCTAGCCTGGACAACAAAGCGAGACTCTGTCTCAAAAAATAAAATAAAATAAATAAATAAATAAAAGGGCCCCACGGCTAACGTTTGAATACCCGCTTCTAGACCATCTACTTGGCCGTGAGCACTGAAGGCGGCGGTCCCCAGGATATGCAGAGAGAGGAGGGCACGCGGTGACAGCGTCGGGACTGAATGGGAGAGAGGCCGGAGCCGGCAAGGTCGTGTGTCTCCTAGCTGGGCCCCACCCCGGTGGATGAAGACACCCCCTCCGAAGACACTGGCCACCCTCCCCCAGGCCGGACCTCACAACAGTGGGGGCCGGTGCAAGTTCCAAGGTCGCCAAGACCACCGTCGGGTTCCACCGTTCACAAGAAGGACTCACAGAACTAACTGGCAGGGTGGCAGGGCCGGGATCCACGGGGTGACGAGGCCAGAGCGGCCACACAGAGCTGTGTCCCCAGCGCCCAGCTATGTCCCCAGTCGGGTGGGCAAAGGGAGATCGGTCGCTTCGCTGAACATTGTCTGTCTCCAGCCATCGGCCTATTTATTGCACTACTAAAGCTTATTATTTATTTGTTACACCTCGTGTGGCTGTGTGCGGCGGGGGTCTCTGATGGAAATTAAGGAGAGCCCAAGTCTCCTGTGACCTGTCACCGAGTGGGATGGGACCAGAGGTGCGGAGACAAGACCCCAAGTCAAGAAGGTCACGAGGGCACAAGTCCCTGATACTGTCAGACACCATGGTGAGAGTTCATCCCTGTCTCTCTCTCCCACTGTTTAATTAGATAGTACATAAACATCCCAAAATTAAAAGTTTAAAAAAAAGACATCAGGGATCCACTTGGAATTAATTGGTGTGCAGACTATAAGGTAAGGGTCCGGCTTTCACTCTTTTTTTTTTTTTCTTGAGACAGAGTCTCGCTTTGTTGCCCAGGCTAGAGTGAGTGCCGTGGCATCAGCTTAGCTCACAGCAACCTCAAATTCCTGGGCTCAAGCAATCCTCCTGCCTCAGCCTCCCGAGTAGCTGGGACTACAGGCATGCACCACATGCACCACAATTATATAATAAAATATATTATATAAATTAATTGACCAAATTAATTTCATATTTACTATTTATTAGTAGAGACGGGGAGTCTTCTTTGCTCAGGCTGGTTTCGGGACATCCTTGACCTGACGAGCCAATCCGCACCGCACTCGGAATAACTCCCAGACGTGCTAGGATATAGGTGTGAGCCATCGCTCCCGACCCACACTTTAACACCAAATTTTTAATATATAATCTAAGCAAGTAGGATATCCAGTTTTACACAGCATAGTGAATGGATTTAATGCCACTGAATTGTACACATAAAATGGCTAAAACAGCAACTTTTATGTTATCTCTATTTTACCACAATTTTTAAAAAATGAATCATGTCATATGCCAAAAAGCCATTGAACAGCACACCTTAAGATAGGTGAGGTGGGCCGGGCGCGGTGGCTCACGCCTGTAATCTCAGCACTCTGGGAAGCTGAGGCCAGAGGTTCGCTCGAGGTCAGGAGTTTGAGACCAGCCTGAGCAAGAGCAAGACCCTGTCTCTACCAAAAATAGAAAAAAATTAGCCAGGCATGGTGGCGCATGCCTGTAGTCCCAGCTACTCGGGAGGCTGAGGCAGGAGGATCGCTTGAGCCCAGAAGTTTGAGGTTGCTGTGAGCTAGGCTGACGTGCACAGCACTCACTTAAGCTGGGCAAGCCAGAGTGAGACTCTGTCTCAAAAAAAAAAAAAAAAAAGATGAGTGAGCTGTATCACTACCAACTCACTCTCTCGCTGTGCTGGAGGTCAGAGGTCGGAAGTGAGAGCTAGAATCAGGGTGTGGGCAGGGCCATGCCCCTTTCTGGAGGCTCTGGAGGTGAACCCATGTGCTCGTTTCCCAGCTTCTAGAAGCCACCGCAGTCCTCGGCTCATGGCCCCTGTCTCGTCACCTTCTTCCTCCTCTGACCTTTTTGCCGTCCTCTTACAAGGACCCTGTGATTGCACTGAGGAAATGCAGAGCCATCTCCCATCTTCACGTCCTTAATCACTTCTCCGGAGTCCCTTCTCATAGGCCCCAGGGATTAATTAGCACCTGGATATTTTGGGGGACTCATTATTCTGCCTGCCACTCCACCCTGGGTGCCTGCTGCACCACAGGTAAATTGTGGTGGTATTTTCTGGTGAGTTTATTTATGCAGAGATGGTAAATAAATATATTTTTTCTTTTCTCTCTGTCTCTCTCTCTTTTTTTTTTTTCCAACAACAGGTTAATAAATCATGCACACTGATCCGCGCCTTGCTTTTATCACGCACGGTTTGTGGTGATTCAGGATCCTTAGTTGTTCCTCAGTTGCCTTTTACTGCACAGGAGGGACTCACAGGGCCCTTTTAACCAGGCCCCTAAGGACAGGCGTTTGTATAATGCCATTCCCAGCCTTTTGGCATTACAGTGTTGTAGAGAGTAGCTTTGCACGCTGTCACCTAAGTCACGCTGATGCGTGGTGTGGCATGCACTCCACACTCCTGCAAGTGGAACTGCCACACCAAAGACTATGTGCTCTTGTCCTTTTGATGGATATTGACACATGGTCCTCCGTAGACGCTGTGCCCATCTCTGTTCCCACCAGGGATGTAGGCGACAATTCGCTGTTTCAGGGGATCAACTCTTAGATGCCACGGAGCCAAAATTTGGGCTTATATAAACTTACACATAAAACTGAGAAAACTGGCCGGGCGCAGTGGCTCACGCCTGTAATCCTAGCTCTCTGGGGGGCAGAGGCGGGAGGATCGCTCAAGGTCAGGAGTTCGAAACCAGCCTGAGCAAGAGCGAGACCCCGTCTCTACTATAAATAGATAGAAACTAATCGGCTAACTAATATATAGAGAGAAAATTAGCCGGGCATGGTGGCACATGCCTGTAGTCCCAGCTACTCGGGAGGCTGAGGCAGGAGGATCGCTTGAGCCCAGGAGTTTGAGGTTGCTGTGAGCTAGGCTGACGCCACGGCACTCACTCTAGCCTGGGCAACAAAGCGAGACTCTGTCTCAAAAACAAACAAACAAAAAAAACTGAGAAAACTGCAATTATTCATATCAGAGAATGGAGGGGTGGGGACCACAGGCTAAAATGCTCCAAACCCTCCCTCAGCATGGCGCCTGCCTGGGCGGGGTCGGGGGCATCGGGCCGTTACTGTCTTGCCTTCAGGATCTGTGACATCCCAGGAGCCTCCGGGCTGCAGATTGCTGTGGGTGAGGCTGCCTGTGCTACTGACATTGAACTCATTAAAAAACAATTATGAAGTGACCCAGAAGTTCTACTTCTAGGTATACACCCCAAAGAATTGAATACAAGTATGCAAAGATATATTTGTGCACGGATGTTCATAGCAGCACTCTTCACAATGCCCAAAAGGTGGAAGCAACATAAATGCCCACTGAGTGACAAATAAAATGTTTTCTCCCTATATGATGGAATATTATTCAGGCATAGAAAGGAATGATGCTATGATGTGGATGAACCCTGAAAACGTTATGCCAAGTGAAAAACCAGACACAAAAAGCCACATATTGTATGATTCCATTTATATAACATATCCAGAAAAGGCAAATCCATAGAGTCAGAAAACAGATAACTGGTTGCCAAGGGCAGGCAGGAAGGGGGAGCAACCGCCTAATGGGCTCGAGGTTTTCTTTTGAGGTGATGAGAATGTTCCAGAACTACAGAGTGGTGATGGTTGCCCCATATTGTGAATTTCCTAAATGCCACTGAATTGTACCCTTTAAAATTATTTAAATGGGCCAGGCGTGGTGGCTCATGCCTGTAATACTAGCATTCTGGGAGGCCAAGGTGGGCGGATTGCTGGAGGTCAGGAGTTTGAAACCAGCCTGAGCAAGAGCGAGACCCTGTCTCTACTATAAATAGAAATAAATTAATTGACCAACTAAAAATATATATACAAAAAATTAGCCGGGCATGGTGGCGCATGCCTGTAGTCCCAGCTACTCGGGAGGCTGAGGCAGGAGGATTGCTTGAGCCCAGGAGTTTGAGGTTGCTGTGAGCTAGGCTGACACCACGGCACTCACTCCAGCCTGGGCAGCAAAGTGAGACTCTGTCTCAAAAAATAAAATAAAATAATTAAAATGATTAATTTGATGTGTGCTTTACCACAATGAAAAATAAAATTTTTCCAGAAAAATAATTTTTTCATTTCCCAGCTCTTCACTTACTGGTAGAATTTTCAGGAACGAATTAAAGTCATGAAGTGAAGGATGGGTGTATATAAAGATATGATGAGAATGAGGGTGCTTCAACCGCCAATGGCAGAAAGCCACCTACCCACCCCCCACCCCCAACCCCTGCCACCTGCAGGCCAGGATTAAAAACAGGAAACTGGATTGTCTGGCGCTACTCCAGGCACTGTGTGTGGGGCTCAGCTCTGTTGCTTGCTGTCTGTTCTGCTTCCCTCCCACCACGTAGTGGCATCATCCTCAGGTTGGTGCCAAAAAGGCTGCTGCATTCCGGGCATCGCACCCGGACTCAGACTTGGAGAAGCAGCCCACCCCTTCCTGGGCGCCCTCTGGGAACAAGAAACCTAACCCAGCAGCACCCCCTCCGTCTCATTGGCCAGCACTGCCCACCACTCAACCAATCCCTGGCCAGAAAAATGGGACGGCCTGGGAGGCTTCGACCAATCCGGATCTGCCCTCTGGGGCGGGGAGAAGCCAGGCTACTGCAGGGCAGAGGATGGAAGCTTCGACCTTTCTATTAGCAGTGATTATCTCTGGGTAGTTGGAAGATGTTTGAATTGAACTTTATTCTCTTCTTTTTTTTTTTTTAGCACTGTCTAAAGGATCTATAATAAACCTTGACTCTTCTCTTAATAATGCAAAAGGAATCAAAGTCATTATTTAAGAAGGAGGGAGAGGGAGGGAGGGAGGGAACAAGAGAGTGCGTGTTCCAGCAACTGGAAAATCTAGAATAGCTGGCCTAGCTTTATGCACTGACTGGAAATAATTTTTGCTAGGTTTGCAACCAGCTCTCTCTAGCAGACGGACAAAGGAAATCGAAAAACTGCAGCAGGAAGGATTGAGGATGGATTCTTTGGGGATGCTGACCCCACGGACTCCAGCAAGAAGCCTTCCAGATTTGTTGGGGATGTGAGGAATTGGAAACCCTTGCAGGGAAAATACATTTCCCTTGAGCAGGGTCCCAAGGGGCGGGGGACAGTCTGGAAGGCACAGCAAGTCCAAAGACAAGGTCAATAGTAATAACAACAATGACAGGCGTCAGGCAGAGATGGGGCGATTGGAGTCGTGAAGGACAATAGCCTAGACCTGAGGGCCCTCCCTTTAAAAGCTCTGCGTTTCTGCTTAGGGACAGGAATTTGGATTCTGAGACCATATCGTCTGCCATTTTCCTCCTTTGCCTGCAAAGTAATAGACTTCTCTTTCCTTCTCCTCAAAAAAACCAACCAAACAAAAAAAATAAAGTGACAGGCATCATTCGTTTGCTTGACAAGCCTCTTGCAACGGTCCTCCTGACAACGCCATGAGGTGGCAACGATGATCCCCACAGAGAGGCGACAGCATTTGCCCCAAGATCCTGCAGCCGGGGGGTTGGCAGAACCAAGCTGACAGCCGAACTCACCAGCCTCTGAGTCTGCCGCCGTTCAGCCACCTGGGCCACCCCACCCTTCCAGGTGGTTCAAAGTCAGGATTCCTGGCCGGGCACGGTGGCTCACGCCTGTAATCCTAGCTCTCTGGGAGGCCGAGGCGGGCGGATTGCTCGAGGTCAGGAGTTGGAAACCAGCCTGAGCAAGAGCGAAACCCCGTCTCTACTATAAATAGAAATTAATTGGCCAACTAATATATATACAAAAAATTAGCCGGGCATGGTGGCGAATGCCTGTAGTCCCAGCTACTTGGGAGGCTGAGGTAGGAGGATTGCTTGAGCCAGGAGTTTGAGGTTGCTGTGAGCTAGGCTGACGCCACGGCACTCACTCTAGCCTGGGCGACAAAGTGAGACTCTGTCTCAAAAAAAAAAAAAAAAAAAAAAAAAGTCAGGATTCCTGATTTGCCCCAACCCGGGGCCTCTGGAAGATGCCATCAGCTCTGACACGCTGACAACACGTGTCCAGGACACGCACGCGCAAAGGGCTGCTGCTACCCTGCACCCCAGCTTAGTGTTCTGTCTTCCTGCTAGGCCAGAAACGTCACCAGGGTGACATGCCCGCCTCAGATCCCTCAGTCCCTGCTCGCTCTGATAGACCTTCCCGAGACGATGACAAATGTTCTCTCTCTGTGCTGTTGGACATAATAGCCACTAGTTTAAGAAACTAAATGTCTTAATGCATTTGATTTTAATGAATTTAAATGTATATTTAAATAGCCCCGTGTGGCTAATAGCTATGATATGAGAGGGCATAACTCTGTGCTGTCCAAAAGTCAAGTTCCAGCCCGACAACAGAGCTCACCACCAGGCACCATCGATTCCTCCACCTCCCCAGCCTCACACACACGCACCTGCCCCCTCCCACCCGGCCCTCCACTGGCCCAGGGTGTGGCAGCCTCCTCAGTACACCCTGAGGACGACCTCGGCCTCCACTCCTCTGCACATGTTGTCTACGCCGCCTGCTACACCTCACCCCACCCCATCCCATTCTCTGCCTCATTCTTGCTCCAGGTCGCAGCTCAGATGTCCCCTCCTCCAGGAAGCCCTCAGGTGGAGTGAGGTGTGTCCCCTTGGGCTCTCCCAGACCCCTGGGCTCCTCCATCCCAGCCCTGATCACTTTGGATCCTCATTGGGGATGGGTTCTGTCCCCCAACCCCACATAGGGCTGTAAGCCTCGCGGTGGACTAAGAGCAGGGCAGGGCAGGGCGGGACATGGTGGCTCCTGCCTGTAATCCTAGCACTCTGGGACGCCGAGGCAGGCGGATCGCTCAAGGTCAGGAGTTTGAAACCAGCCAGAGCAAGAGCGAGACCCCGTCTCTACTAAAAATAGAAAGAAATTAATTGGCCAACTAAAAATATATAGAAAAAATTAGCCAGACATGGTGGCGCATGCCTGTAGTTCCAGCTAGTTGAGCCCAGGAATTTGAGGTTGCTGTGAGCTAGGCTGATGCCGTCGCACTCTAGCCCGGACAACCAACCAAGTGAGACTCTGTCTCAAAAAAAAAAAAAAAAAAAAAAAAAAGAGCAGGGCAGGGCCAGTCTCAGTCACCCATGTGTCGCCAGCACCGCCCAGCACCCAGGTCTGGGCACTGGAAGTGTGTGTCAGAATGGATGAAGAAATAAACGAATGGAGCAGGCTTTTGAAAAACGAGGCTAAGAGCTGGGGCGTGAGCCAGCCGGCAGACTTGCCTCTTTCCCTGAGCCTCGGTTTTCACGTCTGTGAGGTGGGAACGGCCACGTGTGGTGGCTGCTGGGTGAGGGAGCGTGTGCTGGGACTTCCTGCAGGGGCCGCCTGGCCCACAGGACTTGCTCAGGCAGAGGCTGCTGTTCCTGCCCGCTGAGCAGAAGAGGGTAATGGAGGTCAGGGGAGGAGCCCGGGGAAGCCCAGTAAGTTCCCCAGTCACTCTGGAAAACTGGTTCATCCGGTGTCTTCTGTCCCAGGGAGCACAGGTGGGGCCCGTGGAAAGGGGACGCTGGGGCTGGACCGGCCTCTGTGGTGTCTCTGAGGCGTCCCCACGACCCGCGCGGAGCTGGCCCACTTCCGACAGCCAGGCCCAGCCCCCTTGGTGTTCAGCAGGGCCCCTCGGCATCTCTCCAAGAGATGGAGATTCCCACGAGGACCCAGGGCCACTGCTCGAAGAGCCTCCTGCTGTCAGGTAAGGAGGGGACGTTCCCCAAAGACTGAGGGGAGAAGGTGGGACTAAGCCCAGGGGCTGAGGTTACCTCTTAGAAGGAGGGAAAGCTTATCCAGGAAGTTGAGGGGCAGTAGAATCACAGCCCTGTGGCTGTTTTATCTATGGAATTTTCTAGAACGCCAGGACCATGAAGGCAGGAATTTATTTGTGTTTGGTTCCCTGCTATATATCCCCAGTGCCTAGAAATCTAGAGACTTATTTTATACAGTTGGTATTGTAGCTTACATTAATATCGTATATATGCTTGTTAGCATTGGTTAAATGAATGAATGAATGAATGAATTCAGAGAGCCCAAGTGTTTAGTGGCTGGCCACATAGCATCTCAGGGTGGAAAAACCTTCTGAGTCAATGGGATGGCAAATCTGTGGCATCGTGGCTGTATTCCCCACTCCTACACCTGGGGCAGACATCTCTAATCAATTCCAGCACTGTTTCCCCCATATGAGGCTCTCTCTCTAGGGAGGAGAATGCCATGGGCCCTGATCCCGACACCCCTGATCTCAGGCCTCCCTCGTAACTCCCCACAGCCTTGATCCTGGCACTCTGGGTGCCCCAAGGCTCCCAGGCAGCCCTGCGCATCCAGAAGATTCCAGAGCAGCCTCAGAAGAACCAGGACCTTCTCCTGTCTGTCCAGGGTGTCCCAGACACCTTCCAGGACATCAACTGGTACCTGGGGGAGGAGGCCTATGGAGGCACAAGGCTCTTCACCTACATACCGGAGCTCCAGCGGCCACAGAGGGACGGCAGTGCCATGAAGCAGCGGGACATCGTGGGCTTCCCCAATGGCTCCATGCTGCTGCGGCGTGCCCAGCCCACAGACAGCGGCACCTACCAAGTAGCCATCACCATCAACCCTGCCTGGACCATGAAGGCCAAGACCGAGGTCCAGGTGGCCGGTGAGTGTTAGGGTCTGGGGGAGACGGGGGGAAGCTAATGGGTCTTGAGCCACTACCAGGGACCAGGCCCTGTACAAACACACCATTTTATTTAGTTCTCTCATTCAACACAGGCTGCTTGAGCACCCACTATACTCCAGGCCCCAGAGCTATCCTTTAATCCTCACGTGCATTAATTAATATTAATTAATTAATAATAGTATTAATAAATACCTGCCTTGTGCCAGACACTGGAGAACTCACCATCTCATTTACTCCTCACATGCATTAATTAATCAAATGTTTATTGAGCACTTACTGCATTTCTGGTCATAAGGAATGTATCACTCAATCTTTATGTTCATAAGGCAAATATCTACTGATGAATCCACTCTGGGAAAAGTGCTAAGGACAGGGTGGTGGACAATAGCTATGCTTTCTCAGTCTCGGCACTACGGACATCTTGGACTGGCCAGTTCTTTGTAGTAAAGGGCTTGTGCGTTGCAGAGAAGTTTAGCAGCATGCCCGGCCTCTGCTCACTAGATGCTGGTATTGTCTTCCTACTCGTGACAATCAAAAATGTCTCTAGATATTGACAAATGTCTCCCAGAGGCAAAAAGCCCCCCTGGCTGAGAACCACTGCCTCATATTAACTCATGTGTACCTTAGAGCAACTCTGTGAGGCAGGTGCCATTATTGTTTCCATTTCACAGATGGGGACACTCCAGCACAGAGAGGTTATGACTTGCCCAGTAAAAAAAAGCTAACCAGGAAGATGCACCATGAGAAGGGAGGTCTCCAGGGAGGCCTCACGGAAGAGGAGACATTTGAAGAGAGACCAGAAGAAGTCTGGTCTTCTATAGTCTGAATGGTTGTGTCCCCCGTGAATGTATATGCCAAAATCGTAACACCCCGAGCTATTAAAAAGTGGGGGCCTCTGGAAGGTGATCGCATCATCAGAGCAGAGCACTTGTGAATGGGATTAGTGCCCTTAGAAAACAGGCCCAGGGCCGGGCGAGGTGGCTCACGCCTGTAATCCTAGCACTCTGGGAGGCTGAGGCGGGAGGATCGCTCAAGGTCAGGAGTTCAAGACCAGCCTGAGCAAGAGCGAGACCCCCGTCTCTACTAAAAATAGAAAGAAAGGTCAGGAGTTCGAAACCAGCCTGAGCAAGAGCAAGACCTCGTCTCTACTATAAATAAAAAAAGAAATTAATTGGCCAACTAATATACATAGAAAAAATTAGCTGGGCATGGTGGCGCATGCCTGTAGTCCCAGCTACTAGGGAGGCTGAGGCAGGAGGATCGCTTTAGCCCAGGAGTTTGAGGTTGCTGTGAGCTACGCTGATGCCATGGCACTCACTCTAGCCTGGGCAACAAAGTGAGACTCTGTCTCAAAAATAAATAAATAAATAAATAAATAAATAAATAAAAATAAAAATAGAAAGAAATTAATTGATCAACTAAAAATAGATACAAAAAATTAGCCGGGCATGGTGGCGCATGCCTGTATTCCCAGCTACTCCGGAGGCTGAGGCAGAAAGATCGCTTGAGCCCAGGAGTTTGAGGTTGCTGTGAGCTAGGCTGATGCCACGGCACTCTAGCTCAGGCAACAGAGTGAGACTCTGTCTCAAAATAAAATAAAATACCAACGAATAAATAAATTTCAAAGAAATAATCCTCCCAGATTGACGGGCACGTTTAGAACATTAGTAAGTCATAAGGGCTAAATTGACGCTGCTACACTGATGATTTTACTAACTTCCCCCCCTGACTGACACCACTACTGAACAAGGCTGATTAGAGAGAGTTTATGAGGGTTGAGTATGCCAGTCTGTTATCAGCTTTTGACAACAGTGCACTGTGTTTCTGTTTGAAGTGGAATTTGTAAATAGCTGCACAGCTCGACAGTGTGTTTTTTTTAATTCTGTCTGCTTAACAGCCCATCATGCCAAAGAAGACCAAGAGATTGCCGAAGGAAGAAAACAGACTTTTTAAATGAGGTTGGGAATTGCAATATTATCTTGTTTTTGCTAAAGATAAGATGATTTGCTTGCTTTGTGATATTGCAATATCAACACTAAAGAAATTCAGAGCTCATCAGCATGACTCATAAGGATCACAAATATTTTAAATTAAAGGAAGAGCATGAAAGGTTGTACTGCAGAAATTAAAAGATAAAAAACAAAAGCAAAGACAATTCTTTCAAGCAAGACCTGGAAATAATGCCACTGAAGCAACTTGTATAGTAGCTTATACACTCAAGGAAAAAGGGAAGCCATTTGATGATGTAGAAATTGTGGAAGAATGCACTGTCGAAGTTGTAGGATGTTTAGACCCCAATAACATTTCAAAGTACAAACAACTGCCACTTAAGAGGAGAACCATAACTGATTGGCAGCATGAATTAGCCTTCTATTTAACAGAACAACTTCATGCAATACTTCAAAAGGAAAACAGATAGTATTCCATTGCTTTGGATGAATCAGCTGATATTTCTGACTCTGCAGATTTTACACTTCATTCCGGTCATAACAGAAGATTTTTCTTTGCTACAAACAGTTACTCCCTTTGGGCACTCTTGCAAACAGAATGCAAGGAATAAATATCTTCAACAACTTTCAAGACAAATGTTGTGAAGTTGGACTGGATTTGGTAAACTTAGTGAGTGTACGTACAGATGGTGCACCTTCCGTGACAGGAAAACATGAAGGGTTTATTGCACAGATTTTTAAAAAATATTAACAGATCCAGATGCTCTCATTTCTTTTCATTGTGTCTTGGATCAGCAAAATCTCTGTGCTAAAGCTACTATTTTAGGTGACACTTTGCAACAAGTTATAAGTATTGTTAACTATATTCCTGCAAATACAATACCACATGGTCAGTTTCCTAACACTAACTTTGAACAGATGAGGTATTCAGTGTGGATTTCCTGTACCATTCTAAAGTGCGCTAGCTATTGCACGGACAGGTGTTAGCCAAAATTTTATTTCTGAAAGAACAAAGAGTTAAATTTTATGAAGAACAGAGTCATCAATGTGAATTATTGAAAGAAGATTCCTATACGAATGCGGCATTTCTGGGTGATACCATGTTAAATCAAAACAACTTGAATATTTCTTTGCAAGGTAAAATTAAATCTATAGATGATATGTGGTAGCAAAAAAAATCAAGCATTTCGAAAAAAGCTATCTTTTTTCCAAAACATTTCTTCAAAAGGAGATTTCGGATGAACATTTTCCGAGGTTAGCAAAGGTCGTTGATGAGCAAGATAATATGTGAGAAACATTTGAAGACTACGCAGCCGTTATAGACCTATTGATTGGAGAACACAATGAAAGGTTCACTGACTTTGAGAATCATGACATCACACTCAAATTAACATTTCAGCCTCACCTGGTTGATATCACCAGGGCACCTACAGGAACTACAGATGGAATTGATTGACCTCCCAGTAGATGACAATTTAAAGTCGTTGTTTGAGGCCGGGCGCAGTGGCTCACGCCTGTAATCCTAGCTCTCTGGGAGGCCCGAGGCGGGTGGATTGCTCGAGTTCAGGAGTTCGAAACCAGCCTGAGCAAGAGCGAGACCCCCGTCTCTACTATAAATGGAAAGAAATTAATTGGGCAACTAAAAATATATACAAAAAAAAAAGTTAGCCGGGCATGGTGGCGCATGCCTGTAGTCCCAGCTACTCGGGAGGCTGAGGCAGGAGGATCACTTGAGCCCAGGGGTTTGAGGTTGCTGTGAGCTAGGCTGACGCCACGGCACTCACTCTAGCCTGGACAACAAAGCGAGACTCTGTCTCAAAAATAAATAAAGTCGTTGTTTGATGCTAAGAAAGATCCAACTGAAAAATGGAGAAATGTAGTAGACTACCCACACGTTCGGCAACATGCCTAAAACATGCTTTCTTGCTTTTCAACCACTTATGGCTGCGAACCTACATTCTCCTACGTAACCCAAGTCAGGACGTCCTTAGGGTCACGAATGGCTGACCCCCATCTAAAGGAGCAACTGAGACTGCGGACCTCCATGCCACAACCAGATATTCACACGCTTTCCGACAAAAAGCAGGCCCAACAAAGTCATTAAAAGGTTGGTTAACTTTAAAATTGACGAATAGTTTTCATTTTTTGAAATTATTAAGTACCTAGTGTTAATAGTTAGATTTTCATGAAATAATGGACTTCTCTTAAGTGTATCTAATTGATGTTTTTTGAGTGTGGCCTTATCTGATTACAGCTATATAAATGCAGCCTTCCAGCATGAAAGGCTCCCCCAGCCCTGGTGGAAGCCCTCCGTGTGGTGCAGTGCAGGGCGAATCTCTGTTTTATCCAGGAGGGAACTGAGTGAGACTCAGGTGGTTTAAGACACTTATTCAAATGTGGGGCCACCTGAGCCGAAGGTGTGTCACTGCCTCCCACAGATGCTACGCTGCTCAGCCACGCCTTCCTTCAGGAGCCACTGCCCCAAGCGCCTCCTCTGTGTCTGGCCTGGACCGGGCAGTGCTGGGGACGCAGTGGTGACTGAGACAGCTCTGGCCCCGCTCTCCTGGGGCTCACAGACCAATAGGGAAGGCAGATATTCACTAAATAATCACACACACACACAATATGTCACTCAGCTCCATTCATGATGCCAAAAAATACAAAGGAATTTCACAAAATGCATCATTATGAACTGTGGCAGATAGTGTGAAGGAAAGCACTGGGATTATGAGATTGTAAGTGGACGATCCATGCTGGCCACTGGGAGGTTGCCCTGGGAATGTTCCTTCAGCGAGGCTTGAATGACAACTGGAAGTTCTCAGCAGGGGGGAAAGAGCTGGGGACTTGTCTGGGCAGTGGGCTCAGCCTGTGCAAAGGGCCTGTGGCAGGAGGCCAGTGTGGCTGAGGCAGGAGAGTGAGGAGGTATCTTCGGTGACCTGCATGGCAAGGTGTGCCCGAGCCATGGCTCAGGCTGTAAGGACAGAAGCTCCCTCCAACTCAACCCCACTCAAAGTGGGCAGGTGCCTCGTGGAACCCCAGGGTAACTGCCAGCGCGGTAGCTCCAGGAGGCCAGGGTTTCTGTGTGGTCCGCAGCTGCCTCCTCGGAGCCCAGAGCAGGGCTGGACACGCTGCCGAACAAGCAGATGGCCGGGGAGCCAGCAGGGCCTGGTGGGCAGTGGGCTTGTGAGGAGAGCAAGGTGCAAATTGTGACGGTCCCTACAGGGACTGAATTTAAAAAACACAAATAAAATATTTGTAATAATTTTGTGCATGAAACAAAGTTTGTGTTAAGTACTTATGTGTGGAATTTTCCACTCGTGGTGTCATGTCAACACACAGGAACTCTCAGATATTTTAGGGTTAGGAATGCTCAACCCATACTAGAGCAGCCCCAGTGTACAGATGGGGAAACTGAGGCTCAGAGAAGGGAGATCGGTTGCTCAAGACCCCACAGCCAGGAAGCAGCAGAAACTGGGCTCAAAAGTGCAGAGGGGGATCAGGGTCATTTACAGCTTGTGTCTGTTGTCCCCTGACTCTAGCCAGGGGCATCTGGGCTTCTCACCCAAACCCGCCCAGACTTTTCAAAGCCCTCCGGGCCTCTGATACGCGAGGCAGTTAATCACGAAGCCCGGCTCCCCTGATTGACCACACACAGAGCACCTTACACGCATTTATGCTCTGCGTCCTCCCCCCATTTTACAGACAGGGAAACTGAGGCACAGGGAGCTGAAGTAACTTGCCCGGGTCACCCTGCTAGAGAACAGCAGATGCAGGACTTAAACCCAGGCTGGCTGGCTCCAGAGCCCACATCCTCAGCCATGACTTTCTTCTGCCTCATCCACGTCTGTAAGAGGAGTGTGACAACGACACCGCCACCCTGGGGTCGTTAGAAGTCCTGGCTCGGCACATCTGTGTGAAGCTGCTGCTTTCCAAGCTGTGGAAATAAGCACAGAAGACCGACCCAACAGGAAAAGCAAAGGCTACTGATTCAGCTCCTGAGGTCGGTCGCCAGGGAGTCAGCCAGGCAGAGACACAAGGACAGGCTGGGAGTGGGAGAACGTCACAGTGGAAAGAGCGATGACTTCACCTGGGCCCTGACTGGAGGCTGTTGGCCCAGGGAAGCTGCAGGTGACTCACTGGAAGCAGGACATCCTAGGGGATGGGTGAGGTGCATATTTGGCTTTCTTTGGTTGATCCTAAGCTGGAAGTGGAGACAAAAATTAGAGAAGCTGTTCAGTTATTAATCAAGTCCTTGCCCTCAGGCAAGTTGATTTAAGTCTCTGTGCCTCAGTTTCCCCATCTGTAAAATGGCACAGAACCTACTGCTTTGTTGACTAATTGAGAAAACATTTTTCGTGTGTGTGTGCGTGTGTGTGTGTGTGTGTGTGTGTGTGTGTGTGTGTGTGTGTAGATATTCATTCAATCTTCCTAACCCTAAGAGTTAGGTATTCTTACTCCCCACATTTCATAGATGAGCCAAATCTCAGAGAGGTTGAGCAATTTTCCCAAGGTCACACAGCCAGTAGGCAGCAGAGACCTGACCCCCAGCATTACAGCCTCATAGGCTTTGAACGTGGCCCCGAGAGAGGCTGGGATATCACAGGCGTCCAGCTTGAGATTACAGCTGGGAGGTCCTCGTGCTGGGGGTCAGAAGAGCAGGGGCCAGGTCGGCGTGGTCCCAACCCTGGCAAGCCCAGTTTAAGAATCCTGCGGGTCCCTTCTGTCCCCTACAAAACACAGCCCAGAACCTCATCCTTTTGCTGGAAGGAAGGAGGTGTCACCAACTGGGGGGAGAAAAGGCGGGTTGGCGGGGAGGGGGCGAGGAGTTCCATCTGGGACAGGTGTGGCGTGTGCCTTCCCGATGGTCGGATACTCGGGTCTGAAAAGCAGGAGAGGGCTCGGGGCCGGAAGGAGGACACGGCACAGCAGCGCTCCGTGGAGAACCGGGGCTCACGGATGCAGGCAGCGGTGGGGGAGCCCTCACGCGACCTCACGGTGTCTCTTTCTCTCCCTCCGCAGAGAAGCATGAGGCCCTGCCCAGCGCACACCTGCCCATGAATGCGGGGACCGTGGCCGCCATCATCATCGGCTCTCTGGCTGCGGGGGCCCTCCTCATCGGCAGCATCGCCTGTCTCCTGGTGACAAGAGGCTGGAAGGGCCAGAGCCACAGGTATGGGGGCCCCAGGCCTCTCCTTCCTCTGTCTCCTCCTCCTCCCTTCTCGGGTCCCATCGATTCTTCCACAAACTCATACACGAGCTCATCAAATCTTGGAACCCCTGAGGTGACAAGGACCTTTTTATCCTGTATTACGCAGAAGTCTGCATTTCAAGAGACAGGAAACCTACCCTTAAACTGGCTTACCAGAACTAAGAAATTGTGTATACTCTATAACTCATTAGCTTCAGGCATGGCTGGACCCAGGGGCTCAATTTTGCCAAGAAACTCCTCCGAGTGCTCCTCAACTCTGTTTTTTTTCCTATGATGGTGCCATTCTCAGGCAGGCTGTCCCCTGGTGTGACAAGATGGCTCCCAGCGGTGGCTCCAGGCTTATATGCCACCAGCTCAGCCACCCCAGAGGAAGGAGAGTACTTTGTTCCTGCTAGTTCCAGCAAAAGCCCCAAGCCTGCCTCTCGTTGGTTTAACGTAGACCACCTGTCCTGACTTGAACCCGTCACTGTGGCCAGGTGTTGGAATGCTCCGATTGGCCAGACGTGGGCTAGTCTGGCAGCCCTAGAGCCAGGGGCAGATCAAGCCCCACGTGATCAAATGGACAGAGAGCGGGGAGGGGCTCCCCAAAGGACAACTGGATGCTATTGTCAAAGAAGGGGAGTGGATGGTGGGCAGGCAGAGCCACCAGATGGTAGAGACGGGAGCCACCAGGACCGGCCTCAAGTGAAATAGACATATTCAAATGAGTCCATTTTAAAGAGACATGTTAAGGAAATCATCAGACAAGTGGACGCAGCAGCATCCTTAGATGGTCTCTCTAAATAAATAGTGATGTCTGGGGGACATTGCTCGTTGGCAGAAGGTGGCAGCTGGGGAGACAGGGATTGTGGCTGGGGGTTATGGAGGAAGAGGCTGGCAGGGGACAGAGTGACCATCCCGCCCTCTGGGGCCTGCTGGGCTCTCCAGCCTCTCTGGTCCCTCTCCACCCACTCGGGCATCTCACTCTCCTAATGTCCGTCCCCTCCGTACGCCCCCAGGATGACGACCACAGAGAACTCTGCACGGGGCCCCAGTCACAACGCTGGTAAGTGGGGGGCCCCAGGTCTCACGACTTAGGCCTCTTCCCGGCTCCCACCTCTTCTCCCCAAGGGGTCTCCCAACACACTTGCCCCCCAGACCTCCCTGCCGCACCCCTGACTCAGCCATAGCACCTGAGCATGTCGGCAGCCACCCGAGCCTGCTCTTCCTCCTCTTCTCCCCCATCTCGTCCCGCGGTGGGGACCGCCTGCCCAGCTTCCTGCCGCTCTCCCGGCCCGTCCCTGGGCAGGGTCCTTCTGTCACTCTCTGCTCAGAGGCCCTCCAGGGCTCCCCAGTGCCGTTGGGACAAGTGCACGCTCCTGAACGTGGCCCCCCAGGCCTCGTGTAAGCTGGTCCCCACGCCCTGTCCTGGCTTCATCTCTCCCACGTAACATTCCCCTCCTCAAACACAAGAAAGAAAATTATGTGTGTGGGTGTGTGATCCAGACAGATCGAACCAGGCTTCTGCACACGTCTGTTCCTGCCTTCGCACGCAGTTCTCACTTCCCTTTATTGTCTCAGATGTACCCTCCTCCAGGAAGCCCTCCCTGACCCGCAGGCTGATTAGGCACCCGTCTGGGCTCCCACAGCCCCCCAGACCCCGAACTCCAGCCCTACGCAGCCTAGGTTGTCACCCTGGGGTTGGGTCAGTCTTCCCAACTGGACTATGAGCCCCGGCGGGGGGTGGGGGTGGGGGGACGCGACAGCCAGGACTGTCGTGATCACTGCCATGTCCCCAGCACCGGATGTGCCGAGAAGAAGTGTTTGCACAAATGTTAGTTGAACGAATGAGTAAACGAATGTGGGCAGGCAGCCAGAGGGGGCCTGAGGGTCCCATCGGTCAGCTGGTCCCCCCACCCCTTGTCCTGTGTTTCAGGTAACAATAATCCCTATGAACTAATGGCATCTCCGGTCTTCCTGGTGTCTCCCCTCAGTGACAAGGGGTCCACGAACTCAGCCCTGGTGAGCCCATCCCCACCCGCTCCCCTCAGGCCAACTTCTCAAAGGGCACCCCAGGGTACCCCTTGAACCAGAGTTTGGGAACCTCATCTCTCTCTTTGAAAACTCATAAAGAAAAGAGATTGGAAGGAAATGGCGCAACAGAAATAGCATTTGTCTCTGGGGTGTGGAGGCCAGTGGGTGGGTTTTTTCTCTTTTCTACTTGTTTGTATTTTCTACACTGAGCAGATATTCTATTTGTAGTGGGAATGGGGTGGGAGGGAGGAGGGACTGCTAAAAAGACGTTATTTGAATTAAATAAAAAAAAGAAACTTACAACGCTCAGGCTAAGAGCTTAGAACCAGAGGTGTGGACGGGGGAGGCTGAGCGTTAAGGGGGTGACTGGTGGGCCACGTGCCCACCTATGGGGGACGCTGAGGTGCAGGGAGTGGCTTCCCTCCACCCCGGGCCCTCGTGGTCCTGGAGGGCCAGTGTTGACTTGGGATCCAGGACTGTCCATAGCACTAAAGGTCAAAGGTTGAAGGGGGGATGCGGGAGGGAGCCAAGGGCCCGGCTCACCTGTGTTCTTCCCTCCTAGCCCCTGCCCATGCCCGCACCCCTGCAGCCCAGGCCGGAGAACCACCAGTACCAGGTGTGGAGGTGGCGGGGTTGGGGGTGGGGAGGGGGCCCCATGGGGCCAGGAGCACCGCAGCCTGGACGGGAGGGGTCAAGGGGGGAGAGCATGGGGTTCTCCTCGCTTCTCACCCCGGAGTCTCCAAGTCTCAGCTCCCAGGGGAAGCCCATTCCAGACTCGCCGAGGGACCCTGGGCAAGTCCCTTCCCCTCCTGGGGCTGCAATTTCCTTCTCTCTAAAAGGATCCAAGACCTTGAATTTGCACAAGAGGAACAACGCCCAGAGAGGGACAGGGGATTACCCAGGGTCACACAGCCAGGCAGGGCCCAGATGAACCCCGTCCAGGCCCCTGTTCCTGGGCCTGGGCCTCAGTTCCTCCCCATCCCCTCCTGTCCGTCCCTGTGCCTCTGTCTCCCTCCCAGTGTCTCTGTCTACACATCTCTGTGTGTGTCTCTGCCCCGTCTTGTAGTCTCTCTGGCTGTCTGTCTCCCTGTCCACATCTCTGTCTCCCCGGACTCTTTGTCACTGTGCCCGCCTCAGTCTCTGGCTCTTCCAGGCACTCCTGTCTCTGCGTCTCACTCCCTGTCCACGCCGGGCTCCCATCCTCTCTCTGCGGGTTTCTCTCTGTGTCTCTGTGTCCCTCACCCGCTGTCCCTCTCTGTCCACCCCCCAGTTCTCACCCCCTTCCCCGTCATAATCGCTCTCTCTCTTCCCCCCCCCCCAGGACCTGCTGAACCCAGACCCCGCCCCCTACTGCCAGCTGGTGCCAAGCCCTGAAGGAGCCCGGCCAGGCCAGCCTCAGACAAGGCCTCTGCCGCCCCTGGGGGCCTCGCACCGATGACAGAAAAGACACCTCCGAGACCAGCAGGACGAGGCCATCAGGGGCTGTGGGGCTGAGGAGGTGGACTCGGCCAGAGACTCAGCGTCACGTGGGGCAGGTGTCCCGGGAGGGGGACAGGAGATGGCCATGGGCCCATCTCCCGCTCACCCCCAAGTACACAGCGGTCTGGTCCCTTCTGGCCACACGTCTGGGAAAGGCAGGCTCCTGCCTCCTGCCATGCCGGAGCCCCCCCGTCCCCCCGAGTCTGGATATTTGGGGGTGAGGAGGGCGGTCTCAGGCCTGCCTCACAGGCACCTGTCTGGCTGGGCTCCCAGTCGTCTGTCCTCAACGCCCCACCCACCCTGCTCCAAAATCACCCTCAGAGTCCCTTCCCCTGGGGCCGAGGCAGCCCCCCACCACTAGGGCCCAAGGCCCAGGGCAGGGAGGCCTGGCTTCATAGGCCCGGGGCCCTGGGCGACAGTCCTGGCAAGTCAACGAGGCGGCCCGGCCCCTCCCTCGCTCAGGCAGCTCCAGCCCCTCTCAAAACTCGGTCTCTCTGAACCTGCTGCCAACCTCCGGCCGAGGCCCCCACCCGGAATGCCACCAAGTCCCTCAGGGCGGTGGCTCCCTTCTCCACCACCACTCCAGCCCCTGCTCCTGAATGTGGGCTCAGCCTGTCACCCCTTAATCTATTCCTTCATTTAGCAATAAATGAGCCCTTGCCGTATGCCAGGCCCAGTTCTAGACTCTTGCAGCTTTGGCAGGGAACAAAACAGACACAAACTCCTGCTCTCCTAGAGGGTCACTATGGCAGGGGAGAGAATCAGGAAACAAAACAAATCACTCGCGCACATGGGATGAGCGCGCAGCAGGGAGACAGAGAGGGGAGGGGGGTTGGGGGGATTGGGGATTGAGATTTTAAATGGGGAGGCAGAGAAGGTCTCACTGAGAAGGTGACAGATGAGCAAAGACCTGAAGAAGAGGAGGGAGGGAGCTATGTGGGGCTCTAGTGGGAGAGCATTCTAGGCAGAGGGAACAGCAAGTGCAAAGGCCCTGAGGTAGGAGCGTGCCTGGCACGTTCAGGGGCAGCAAGGAGGCCAATGGGGTGGAGGCAGACGGGGGAAGGGGCAAAGGGTGGAGGTGAGGGCCGGCGATGGAAGGAGGGGCAGATGGTGCAGGGCCACTGAGGCACTGCCAAGACCGTGGCTTTTGCAGGGCCAGGGGGAGGGCTTGTGGTGGGCCGAATAATGCCACCCCCAAAGATGTCTGTGTCCAAATCCCCTGTGAAGATGACCTTATGTGGCAAGAGACCTCAGGCGTGATTAAGCTCAGGGTCCTGAGATGGGGAAATGATCCTGGATCAGCCTACACGTAATCACAGGGACCCTTCTGAGAAGGACACAGGAAGCGTGAGTCAGAGGGGCGCTGAGGCTGGGGAGACGAGCTCTGAAGGTGAGGAGGGCCAGCACCCGGGCAGCACCTCAGGGCCGGAGTGAGTCACCGTGGGAAAGATCCATCGGCCATTGTGAGTTTTAGAGATGAAAGGGGCCATCAGCCAAGAGATGTAAGAAGCTTCTAGAAACTGGAAAAGGCAAGAAAACAGATTCTGCCCTAGAACCTGCAGAAAACAACACAGCCCTGCTGAAACCTTGGTTTTAGCCCAGAGAGACCCATTTTGGACTCCTGGCCTCCAAAACTGTAAGATACATTTGTATTGTTCGAAGCAACGAAGTTTGTGGCTATTTGCTACCACAGCAATAGGAAACTAATATAGGGGATGAGGAAGGATTCGCAGAAGGAGAAGTTGCATCTCGTGCTGACTCAGTATGCAAATACTCCCTAGAAGGGAATTCTCTATCCCCAGAGCCCTCCAGACACCCGATGCCCGGGTCTTTGACCTCCTTCCTGCTAACAGGGTCACCCAGGTGGCCAGGGCTCAGGGCCAGGAATGTGGGGGGCTCTGTTCATCCTGACCCCAGACAAGGGGACCTCACATGCCTCCCTTTTTCTCCTCTATGGCAGCAGCTGATTGTCAAGCCCCACTATCCATTCTCTCCTTTTCCTTAGTAACAGGGTTTTTATCCAAGCATATGGCTGCCAGGCACAAAAACTACATTTCCCAGGTTCCCTTGTGGCTCAAGTGTGGCCATGTGACTAACTGCAGGCCAATGGGGTGTGCACAGAAGTGGTATAAGCAATTCGCAGGTCATACCCTTAAAGGGACCTTGGGCTGGAGAAAAGACGTGATGGTGGGAACCACCTCGGGTCAGGTGAATGAGGGCAGTGGCCTAAAGGAGAGCAGAGCTGAGTTAGGGAGAGCCTGGGCCGGTCCATGCTGTGGACAGAGCCACTGTGCCAGGTTAGATAGTTACCTAAGAGAGAAAGACTCCTCTCTTGCTTAAGCTACTGTTGTTTGGAGATTCCATTACACCTAGCTCCTTCTAAATCCCAATTAATACAACCCCACCTCCAAGAGGGCAATATTTTCAAGAGTAAGGTCTCTGACCCTGGCTGCACTCCTTCCCACTCCCGTGGTACCAGTTCCATCACGGACTGAATTGTGTCCCCGAAATCCATATGTTGTATCCTAATCCCCAATTCGATTGCATTTGGACGTTGGCCTTAAAAAAGATAGTTAAGATTCAATGAGGTCGTAACGGTGGGCCCTAATTCAATAGGGCTGGTGTCCTTAAAGAAGAGGAAGAGGCACCAAGGATGCACGCCCACAGGGAAAAGGCCACGTGTGGACACAATGAGGGGGTGGCCATCTGCAAGCCCCAGGATAAACCAAACCTGCTGACACTTGATCTTAGACTTCCAGCCTCCGATACTGTGAAAAAATAAATTTCTGTTGCTTAAGCCACCCAGGCTGCAGTATTTTGTTGTGGCAGCCTGTCTCAGTCCATTTTCTGCTGCCATGACAGAAGAGCATGGCGCCGGCGTCTGGCAAGGGCCTTCCTGCTGCTTCGCCCCGTGGCGGGAGGCGCAAGGGCAAGAGAGGACCAAACTCAGTGTTATAGCAAAGCCACTCTCTCAGTGACTAACCCACTCTCGTAATGATGACAGCGATCCACGCATGGGGGCAGAGGATGGAGTTTCCAACACACGAACACATTCGAACCATAGCACAGCCTAGCAGATGAATGCAGGCCCCTTCCACAACAGCCCCAGGAAATGCGAGATCAAAGGTATCTTCTTCCTTCGCCACTAGACAACCAGATTTAAATTGAATAATAATAATAACAATCACGCCAGTGAATAGAGTCTGGACTTTTAGACGTCTGAACTTCTCGAATTTTTTTTTTTTTTTTTGACAGAGTTTCACTCTGTTGCCCAGGATAGAGTGAGTGCCATGGCGTCAGCCTAGCTCACAGCAACCTCAAACTCCTGGGCTCAAGTGATCCTCCTGCCTCAGCCTCCCGAGTAGCTGGGACTACAGGCATGCACCACCATGCCCGGCTAATTTTTTTCTATACATATTAGTTGGCCAATTAATTTCTTTCTATTTATAGTAGAGACAGGGTCTCGCTCTTGTTCAGGCTGGTTTTGAACTCCTGACCGCCTCGGCCTCCCAGAGTGCTAGGATTGCAGGCATGAGCCACCGCACCCGGCCTCTTCTTGAATTTTTAAAATAGCCTTAGAAGGCTGGGTCTATTATAGTCCCACTTTACAGATGGAGAAACCGAGGCTCAGAGAGGTGAAGTGACTGTCCCGGGTCACACACTGGGTGTAAGGAAAGACCAGCGCTGCGGTCAGGTGACCTCAGTTATGCCGCAGCAACAAGCAACCTCGCAATCTCCACGGCCTAAAACATGAAAGGTTTGTTTCTTGCTCGTGCCACATGCTCAGCTCAGCCAGGCAGGTGTGACAAGGGTCAGGAGAGCCGTCATCCAGGAACCGGCGGCCAGAGCCAGTCACTACCCCAGCAGGGAAAGAAACGGAACGTGGCAAATCGTGCGCTGGCTTTTAAAGGTTTCCACCCAGAAATGACACTTCCACTCACGTTTCCTTGCCCGCAGCAAGTCCCCTGGCGCCATCTCACGTCAAGAGGGCCGGGCAGGTGCGATCCTACCATGTGCCCAGAAGAGAAAGAACTGGAATGTGTATGAGCAGCCCAGTGAATACACCAGCGGGAGTCAAACCAGAACCCACACGCTCACCCACAATGCTTTTCTGAGAGCAACGTCCAGGCAGGCCTGCCCTGTTTCGTCTAGTCATTCCCTGACTCATTCATTCATTCATTCATTCATTCATTCAGTAGACACCAGACCAGGGTGGTGGGACGGCCAGGGGAGGCAGTACAAAATATTGCCAGAGTTTGGTCCTGGTCTGGATAGAGGGGGTTAGGGAGAAGGGTGTGTCAACAATTCATTTATTCCTCGGTTCAACATTTATTTAGCATCTGCTGTATACAGCACTGTTCTAGGCTCCGGGAACGAAGCTGTGAACAAGACAGCCATCCCTGTCCTCAGAGAGCTAACCTCCTAGTGGGAGAGAGACAGACCACAGACAAATGGCGTGGAACATAGTATCGGGGGTGGCGACACTCTGAGGGACAGAAGCGGGTGCTGAGGACGCTGAGATGCTGGAGGGAGTGAGCTCCCCCCGGTGGCCGGTTGTACAACGGGAGGACGGACAGGATGGCTGTTGTTCACACTGCAAGAGGGTCAGGTCTGCGAGAGAAACGAAGACACACGTCCGCACGAAAACTGCGACACGGATGTTCACGGCGGCATTATTCACAATAGCCAAAAAGCAGCAGCAATCCAAATGTCCACCAGCAGAGGGGCGGATACACCAAACGTGGCACGGTGTCCTCCCGTGGAATAGCATTCAGCCGTGAAAAGGAACGGAGCGGGGACACCCGCCACAGCACGGACCAACCTGGAAAACACGGTCCTGAGTGAAAGACGCCAGACACAAAGGGCCACGTACTGCGTGAGTCCCTTCGTATGAAATGTCCGGAACAGGCACCTCCAGAGAGACAGAAAGTGGCTGTCGGGGTCGAGAGGGACGGGGAATGGAGAGGGCCTGCTAATGCGTGGGAGGTTTCTTTTCGGGGCGATGACAATGTTCTCAAATTGGTTGTAGTGATGGTTGCACAACTTTGTGAACATGCTAAAAGCCATTGAGCTGTACACCTTACATAGGTGAACTGTGTGGTATGTGAATTGTACCTCAATAAAACTGTTTAAAAAGGAGAGAGAGAGAGAGAGGCCAGTCCTGCGTGCAGTTCAGCCTGTGGTCAGGAAGGGCAGCAGGAGACCCAGCTACCCAGCTGGGGCGTGAGAGTGGGGACAGCGAGCATGCAAGGTGCTCCTTGCAGCACCTGACACACTGTAGCCCAGGAAATGTCCTCTTTGATCACTGGGTGGGGGCTGTGCCTATCCGGTTGGTCCTTATGGCCAGACTTGCAGACAGGACAGGAAGGAGGCGGCACGCGGCCAGCAGGGGGCAGCAGAGGACCGCACAGACCACAGACGCGCGCTGTGCCGCCCGGGGCCCATCCGCCCGCCCCAGCCTCTGCCCCTGTCTTTACCCTTCTGGGCACCAAGAGAGCCCACCCAGCTCCTTCTGCCCAACCCCAAGACACGGGTACCTCCCTCGCTCCCTCTCGCTGTGGCAGGCACCAGGGCCTGCCCCTGAGGGCTCTTGAAGTTGTCCTCCCTGTCCCTGGTGGGCCAGGCAGCTTCTCTCCCCCCTGCCGCAGCCTCCTGCCTGGTCTCCTGCTCCCCCCATCCCCCCACCACAAGGCAGCCCCAGGGATCTTTCTAAAACCCAAAGTCAGCGCAGCCCCTCCCTGCTCAGAACCATCCGTGGCTCCCCAGTGCCCATAAGGTCCAGACGCCTCACCACAACAGCCTTCAACACCCTGCGAAGTCTGGGTCCCAGGGGACTGCCGGTCTCATCACTCAGCACCCCTGCCCCTCGCCCCCACACTGAGGTCAACAGTCCAGCAGATTTAACTTATTTCTGTCTTTTTTTTTTTTTTTTTTTTTTTTGAGACAAAGTCTAACTCTGTTGCCCAGGATAGAGTGAGTGCCGTGGCGTCAGCCTAGCTCACAGCAACCTCAAACTCCTGGGCTCAAGCGATCCTCCTGCCTCAGCCTCCCGAGTAGCTGGGACTACAGGCATGCGCCACCATGCCTGGCTAATTTTTTCTGTATGTATCAGTTGGCCAATTAATTTCTTTCTATTTATGGTAGAGACGGGGTCTCGCTCTTGCTCAGGCTGGTTTCGAACTCCTGACCTCGAGCAATCCACCTGCCTCGGCCTCCCAGAGTGCTAGGATTACAGGCGTGAGCCACCACGCCCAGCCAGAACCAAAGTCTTTCTAAGGCCCAAGCTTTATCTTCTGCTCATTCTGCTCTGAAAGGAAGAAGGACCAAGATGCAATCCCACATGCTGGGGTCCGTGGCTCCAGACAGAGGTGCCTGCCTCCTACCAAAGGGCACTGCGGGAGAGTGATGCTTAACCCGAAGGCGGTATTGCTGGTGGTGGGATTTCAGGCACCGTGTCATTCTCGTGGCTCAATTAGGACAAGACCAATGTCCTGGGCTGGAACTAAGAGCCCCGTCGGGGTGCCCAGGCTGTCTCCACCCGAGCTCTGCCCACCAGGGGACACTATTCCCCCACCACCACCCCTTCCCCGGACACCACTAGATTCTCAAGGCTGTGGCTCCTTGTTCTACAAATGAGGAAGTGGCAGCAGGGAAGGAAATGGGCTGGGCCGTGACCAAGAGTCGTTATGATTCATGGGGAAAACCCTGCCCTCCCAATCCAACTCCTTTGTATGCAGAAAGGCTGGTGCACGCTCCTAGGGTTGCAGGATGGATCACGGGTGTAGACTGGCGAGCAGAGGTGTAGATGCCCCTCACCGGCCCTCCACCCATTCCCTCCACCCCTGTTTGCAGCCCTGGACGGGCTCCTGTACCTGGCGGGGGCGTGCAGGGGTTTCCCTGGAGGTGTTTTTATCAGTTGGACACGATGGAAGAAAGTGTTTCACTACTGAAGCAAAAATTTCAAAATCTCAAACCACTTTTGAGTCCTGGCACCAGGGAACTTTCCTGGGTGCTAAAAGCATTCTAAAACTAGCTTTGGGTGATGGCTGCACAAGAGGAATTTTACGGCGTATTAAGGAAATAATGGCATGGCCGAGACAGCTGGAAATTCGGGACACTGAATATTTGCAGATATTAAGGAATTAATGCGTTTTATTTTCACTTTTTGAATGCAATGCTGGCGCTAAGTCTTTATCGTTTGGAGGTTCGGGCGGAAGCAGCTATGAATAAAATGCTCCGATGGCTGGGATTTGCTTTCAGATAGGAGAAGGCCCCGGAGAGGGGAGGACACTAGACCGGCTGTGGGCTGGTGAGCCGAGCGGCGGGTGTGCGTGAGGGGAACGTGGCTCTTCTCTCTACTTTTGACACTGTGTGATATTTTCCGTACTAAAAAGCAGTTTTAAAATTGTTCTTAACCATAACTCTAAATCCGAATCGAAACCCTTTCCATTTGCCTCATGGGAAAAATGAGGCCCCAAAAGAAGGACAACTCGCCAGGTCCCTTTGGGGGTCCCCAGAGAAGTCTGGCACCCTCTTCGGGCCCCCGTCTCCTTCACTCCCTGCCCTCGACCACCTTCCAGAAAGCTCTGGGTGGCCAGTCCCTTTCTGACCCCCTCCCCCCACTCTCCCTCCCCGTCATGGGATCCAGCCACACCAGCCTCCTTGCTGTCCTCACACTCCTCAGACACCTTCCTGCCCCAGGGCCTTTGCACCTGCTGTATTTCTACCAAACGCTCCTTCCCCACCCTTCCACAGGCTCCCTCCTATTTGGTTGCCTCCTGCAGGTCAGAAAGATCCCCCACCCCCATCCCCGCACCTGTCTAGCTAAAAGAACAATTCTTGTCCCTCCCTATCCTCTTGCTCAATGTTATTTTATTTTTATGGCGTTTATCTCTATGACATTATATGCCTTATTATGGGCCGTCTCCCTCCAGTAGGATGCAGTCCAGCAGGGGGAGGGCCGTGTCTCTGGCCTGTGTACCGCCTGGCACACGGTCCATGCTCAGCAAATACTTGCTACGTGATGAACGGAAAAACCCAGGTGGGTGAGGTGAGGAGGAAGTGGGGACGGGTGTCCCGGCAAAGGGAACGGCCTGTGCAAGGGTCCCAGTCTCGCCCCCCAATCCACCTGCCCTCCCTGCCCCCTAGCCTGGATGCCCTTTCTAGGGTGAGGAAGGCAGGGGACATTTGGCCCTTTTGCCCCAAGAACAGCGTCCCCAGGCCCAGCCAGAGCCAACTCCCGGCCTTGCCGGGCCAGTGCCGGAAGCCACACCCTGATGGCAGATCGCTGAGCAAATATTATGGCCCCGACGGCCCCACCCGAGATAAGGGGAGGCGGGAGGGGGGGTTGGGAACCTACTTCCGAGCTACGTGATTCGCTCCAGCCCACCCCTCAGCGTCAAAGCCTGGTCCCTGCCCAGAGAGGACGGGGCGAGGACCCTGCCTCGGTGGGAGGCCCAAGTCCACATTTCTGTCTTAAACATTGATGAAGTCAGTGGTGGGCGGGGTCGTGAGGAGGTGACAGAGTGAGGAGGCCACATTCCCTCCACTCCCTGGGAACTCGTGATGGTGACCGTGACCGGCTGGTGAGACACGAGCAGGGAGGCCGAGGTAGCTGACCAAACCGGGCCCGAAGCCAGTGTCCCCAGATGGCTCGGATGGCTGTGCAGAGAAGGTGACACTTAACCTGCCCCGACCTCGTGAGCCAATGCCTGGGCCTCAGTTTCCTTGTCTATAAAATGGGTGCTCCGGGGGAGAGGTACCGGACGAGACAACGGGAAAAACGGATGCTCTCAACAAATGATGACATCAGCAGAATATAGATATTCAGTCTGCCCACTGCTGCCCGCCCGGGCCGGCACCGCCCACTAGGGACACGACTCCGGCCACACGCACAGCTGCAAATTTTCTAGTATCACACGGAGAAAAGTCAAAAGAAACAGGTGAAATGAATCTATTTAACACCGTCTATGCAACATGTGATCATTTTAACATGGAATTAATATTTTTTTAATGACCTGTTTTATTTATTTATTTTTGCCTGTACTAAGTGTATTTCTCATTTCCAGCTCATCTCAGTTCCGATAAGCCAGTGGCTGTGGCTACGTGCCGGGAAGCGCAGCCAGCCTCACGCTGTCACCTCCTCCCCAGTGAGCCTGTCCCCCGCACACAGCCCCAAGAGCCCATCAATACCTAAGTCAGTTCACAGCCTTCCTCTGTTCAAAGCCCCCCCGGGTGGCTCCCGTCTCAGAGTAAAAGCCACAGTCCTTTGGGCGGCCGTTGAGGCCCTGCAGGCTCTGCCCTCCTTCCCTTCTCACCCCTCCCTTACTCATTGGTGCCTTCCTTCTTCCGCACAGTCACCAACACACTCCTGCCTCAGGGCCTTTGCACGTGCTGTTCCCTCTGCCTGGCCCGCTGTCTACCCAGACTTCGACACAGCTCCCTCATGGAGTCTCTACTCCAATGTCACTCCAACGTCCCCTTGCTGCCCTACATAAGCCAGTGCCCCAAGCGTCTCCAAACCCTCCCCTGCTTTGTTTCTCTCCATGGCATTGTCTCCACCTCATATAATACCGTCTGTGTTTGTATATGTTTGTCTGCTAACCATCTCCCCACACCCGAGGTCAGCTCCGCGTCTGTCCTATCCATGCCTGTGACCTCAGACCAGCGCGGAGCCTGGTGCTAAATAAATGTTTGTCAAATGCTGAATGAACAATGGTCCACACGCACCCAGAGCTGGCTCTGGGGCAGGCCTAGCACTGAGCCCTCCGTGTGACTGTTCTTACCCTCGGGAGAGTCGCGGAGAGTCAATGTCGTGACCGCCCACCGCCCACTGCACGGAGAAGCAGGAGCCCCTGCCCACAGCCGCCGGGGGCTTTCTGCCCAGCCCTGGGCCCGGCACGTGGTAGGTGCTCAAGAAACTGCAGCTCTGGACTGGGATCCAGAGACCCAGGCTCACCAAAGCAGGCACCAGGGAGGGGGGGAGGTGGCGGGTCAGGAAGGGCAGGGAAGCAGACCCGGAGGCGGGTGTCATGCCACGGTCAGCGTGCGGAGCCATGGCACGTTCTGGCCAACAGCCGGGTTCTGCTCACAGCCCCTGGAGCCCAGCCTCACCGGGCTCCCAGTCCCACGGCAGGTCACCAGATACCCGGGCCTCCCTGGAGACTCCTCTGTCTCCCTCTGTCATCCGCACCTGGTGTCCGGTTCCACAAACGCTCTCTGAGCCCCTGCTCTGTGCTGGGCAGTGCTGGGGACACAGTGATGACCGCCCAGCCCTGCCCGCCCTGAGGCTCCCATCCCCAGACCCTGAGAACCCAGGATGGGCAAGGCCAGGACTGGGGATCCCAGGGGGCACCTGACCCAGCCTTGGAGCCCAGGGGGGCTTCCTGGAGGAAGAGGAGGAGAAGGTGTCAGGCAGGCAATGGAACGGAGCAGAAGGAAGCAGGAGTGTGCCGGGGAGTGGGCGAGTAGGACAAAGACTGGCTCGGGGGCTCCCAGCAGGAAGGGGGGCTCTATGAGGCTGGTCTGGGGGGCAGGGGCCAGGCCACGCAGGGCCTCATGGGCCACAGTGAGGAGCCTGGGCTTTATCCTCAGGGCACTGGGGAGCCACAGCAGGTTCTGAGCAGGGGAGGGGCATGGGCAGGTTTCTGTTTCAGAAAGACCCTCTGTCTGCCAAGTCGAGGGACAATGGGGGAAGGGGCGTGGAGGGAGGGAGGGAGGAGGACCCAGGGAAGGGGGTGCCACCTGGACCAGGGCAGGCGCCTCAGGGAGGGGGAGAAAGGTGCACACAGAAGACACACTTAGGGACAGGCACCATAGCGTGTGGCTGCTCTGGGAGACAGGGTGGGCGTCAGGGCTGAGGCCGGGGTCTCAGCACGGCGGGCGGGGCAGAGGCCCCTGCTCTGCTAAGAGCACCGGGGCCGGAGCCAGTCTGGGGGAGGATGCCGAGGTCAGTTTGGGACAAAATGGGTGAGAGTGTCCAGGGACATGGGGGGAGGCATCCCGAATGACACTGGATGAGATCCCAGGGCTCAAGGGAGGAGGCTGGGCCAGCACAGACGGGTGAGGTGAGGCCACAGGTGGGGGGGGGGGGAGCCGGAGGCGCCAGAACCTCCTCCGGGCCTCCCGCCCCTCCTGCAAGGGCAGCCCAGGACACCGTGCCCGCCTGAGGCGCAGGTGGGGACAGGTGAGCCGCAGGTATGGCCCCTGCCTGGAAGCAGGACCCAGAGCCGTCAGGATGAGCCACAATAACAGGGCTGCCAGGAACCTTGGCCCCTTCGGCCTCTGCCTCCCGATCCCCTCCCTCCACCCCGATTTAAAACGGCAACCCCCCTTTCTGGCTTTATTTTCCCATCTGATGAGGAATAGATTTTACCTGCCCTTTGTTTACCCCATGAATGTCATCAGCCCCCCGAGGACAGGGGTTTCGTCTGTCTCGCGCACTGCATCCCAGCGCCTGGGATGGTCCCTGCTCGTTAAATATCTGTCCCATAAATGAATGAGTGATTTATTGAGCATTTACTCTGTGGCATTGTGGTAAGCACTGTTCACTCACTTAATCCTTATAACAGCCCTTATTATTCCCATTTTACAGATGAGGAAACTGAGGCCCCGCAGGTTCCATAATTTGCCCAGGGTCATGGGAGTAGGAAGAGTGGAGCTGGGTCCAGAACCCAGCTCAGGAACACAACCAGATCTCGTGGGTGGGGCCCAATTCTGCCAGGCCCTGACCTGTAGCGTCCTACTAACTGCTCACAGTGACCCTAAAGTCAGGTCTATACCACTTCTATTTTTCGGAGTAATAAATGGAGACTCAGCAAGGGGCCACCCCCGGCCCCACTCTGGGAAAGTGCAGAGCCAAGGTCAAAACTCCACTCTCTCTGTCCCCAAACCTTCCGCAGACGTCTGTGCACCCCACAGAGAGGGGAAGTGGAGCCCCAGGAGAGGAAGAAAGAGCATGTGGATTTCTGGGCATTTTGCAACAGGCCGGCAAGAAGCGGAGCCCCAGGGAAAGCGCGGCCGTCCAGGTCCGGGTCCGGGCCCTTCTCTCTGGCTTTGGGCACCGAGCAGGGCTCAACCCCCCTCTCCCTGCGGGAACCTGGCAAGTCAGAGAAGCTCAGGGCCTCAGCTTCCCCAGCTGCAAACGGGGCTTCTAAAGCTGCCCCCCTCATAGGGTTGCTTTGATGCCCACCAAGGTAACACCTGTCGGTGTCCTGCATCATTGAGGCTGGGAAACTGAGGTTGTCACTTACTGATTTATTCCTCGGTGACCCCCAAACTCACCAGGGAGGCCGTGGGCCTGGGTGGTCGGTAAAGAACTGCCCTAAAATCTTCCCCTGCCCCTCCCTCCTCCTCCCCGGCGACCTGGTTCTTCTCCCAGGACCAAATCGGGGCCTTTGGCACAAAGAGGATTAGGCAGCTGCCCCAGGAGGCCTGGCCAGGTCATGGCCCCTGGCCCGTGCCCGCCACACCCACCCTGGTGCCCAAACTGGGCCCCAGATCCTTGGTGACTCGATCCCTCCAAATTCAGGTGATCTCCCCTAGCTCCAAATCACCAAACCCTCCCAGGTCCAGTGGCAGACGGAGCCAAGCGCCAACCAGGAAGGGCCTCTGAGCACTGGGACGCCAACGCCACTGTCTCCAAGACCCAGTCTGGGGTGAAAGATGGCGCTGACCGGGTACAGCTGGCTCCTCCTCAGTGGTGAGCGACAAAGACACCCTCCAGCACCTCGGCCACCGAGGGCCTCAGGGAGGGGCGGGGAGGAGACCCCCAGCCCAGGAGAGGGAAGGTGTGAGCCAGAAGTCCAGCATGCTGGGTAGGGAGGGCAGCTCTGCTCCTCCGAGAGGCACCAGTGTGGGGCAGGCCAGAGAGGGACACCCAGAGAGGTTTGCAGGGTGGGCTTTGGAGATTTCTAAGCCCGGGGACATGAGCCAGGGGAAGGGGGCCACTGTTAGCCCTTCATGCATGTGGCAGACCCTTAATGAGCTGGCTAGGGCAGTCCTGACCAGAGACTCTGCCCCTCCCTGAAGATGTAGCTTTGGGCAGTTGCCTTCCCCTTCTCAGCCTCATTATTCTCATCTGTGAAATGGCCCTAATTGGCAGGGTCATTTGAAGGTCATTGTGAGCAGCATTGATTAGCACCTACTGTGTACCTGGAGCTGTTCTAAGTGCTTCCCATGTGCTAACAACCACCCCGTGAGGGAGGCCCACGCATGACCCCCACTCACAGAGGAGAAAACTGAGGCTCAGGGAGGTGAAGTCACTGGCTGGGGCCACACACAGGCAGGAAGTGGCAGGGCTGAGTGCTAGACCCAGACCCCTCACTCTTAGCCATGCTCTTAACAGCCTGGAAGGTACCGGACACCAGGCCAGCCACGTAAGTACTTCTTACATGCAAACCACCGTGGCCACCCATTCCAGGTGACCACACGCAATTCAAACCCAGGTAGCCCTGACCAGCTCACGGGGTCTGGGGCTCACGTGCTCAGTGAGAAGGAAAGGGGTGGAGTGTGTTAATCACATCCCGACTTTCTGCTGTGGTTGAGCTTGGAGAGGCAGAGGAAGAAGCCCCGACGTCCAGGGAGGGAGGCCACGGCCAGCAGGACAAGCTGAGCCAGCTGGATCTCCTGAGACTTGGTTTGGTGACCGTCACCATGAGAAAGCCTCTGGGTCCAACGTAAACTCAAAGGTCTCGTGGGGTGAGCGCTTGCTTGGCTGGACCCTTGGCAGAGCCCACGGGATGCAATCCGCACAGCACACCCCTCCCGGGAACTGAGACCCTGAGCCTGGTGTTTGTTGAGCACTTACTGTATGCCAAGCGTTCTTCTAGGCATGTTATGTGCGCCGAACCCGCACCCTGACCCCGTAAGGCAGGTTGTCCCAGCATCCCTGCGTGAGAGGTGACAACAGGGAGGCACAGAAACGCAGTAGACTCACGCAGATAAACTCCAAGAAAGATTGAGTGGCTACGACCTTGGGAGTCAGAGGGCTGCAGGTTCAAGTCCTGGCTTTGCCTGTCCTCGTGCACACTGAGGATCCTGGGCTGGGGACGTCCCCTCTCTGAGCCCGAGTCCCCTCTGTCAAATGTGGGGATTGGCCAAACCCGCCCCCGTCTGACCCTTCCGGCTCCTCTTCCTCAGCCACGATCCTGCATGTGGGGGCCGAGATCTCCATCACCCCGGAGCCCGCCCAGCCGGCCGAGGGGGACAACGTCACCCTGGTGGTCCGCGGGCTTGCCGGGGAGCTGCTGGCCTACAACTGGTACGCGGGACCCACGCTCAGCGTGTCCTACCTGGTGGCCAGCTACATCGTGAGCACAGGCGACGAGACCCCGGGCCCGGCGCACACGGGGCGGGAGGCTGTGCGCCCCGACGCCAGCCTGGACATTCAGGGCGTCCTGCCCAGGCACTCGGGCACCTACATCCTGCAGACCCTCAACAGGCAGCTTCAGACCGAGGTGGGCTACGGACACATGCAGGTCTACGGTGAGACAGCCCCTACGCCCCCACCTCCCTCTCAACCCCTCTTTCCAAAAAGAAAAACCTCTAAAAAACATTGACACCAACAGAAAAAAGGGGCCTAAAATAACATTAAAATGCTCACCTCCTTCAGGCTGGCTTCGAGGCTTAGACCTACCTCCTAAACCCGTTCTTTGTCCCTCCAGCTGGGGGCAGAGGGGCACGGCCATGATCCGGCCATGCCCCTTGCCTGGGGAGGGGAAGGCCCTCGGAGCCAGCGGTCCCCGGCCCCCTCCCCCTCTGTCTCTTGCCCCCGCAGAGATCCTGGCCCAGCCCGTAGTGGTGGCCAACAGCACAGAGCTGGTGGAGCGTCGAGACACCCTGCGCCTGGCCTGCAGCAGCCCCAGCCCCGCCGAGGCCCGCTGGTTCTTCAACGGGGAGGCCCTGCCCGTCGCCCTCCGCCTCGGCCTGTCCCCGGACGGCCGGGTGCTGACCCGGCACGGCATCCGCAGGGAGGAGGCCGGAGCCTACCAGTGTGAGGTGTGGAACCCGGTCAGCGTCAGCCGCAGCGAGCGCATCAACCTGACCGTGTACTGTGAGTCCTCCTGGTCCCATAGCCCAACCCTCACAGATGGGGAAACTGAGGCCAGGAGCGGGACCCGAGGGCACACAGGCCAGCTAGAATCAGCAACCAGGAGTCCCTCTTGAAATGCACTTGACCCATCTCCTAAAGACCGCCTTTGGTATCGAATAATCCTTCGGGTAGAAGCAATACCTGCAGTGGAAGGACGCAGGACTGGTGGGTTTTGAAAGGGAGCTGGGGAGGGAGTAGTGGCATGGGGCGGCCGGGACCCACAATAAAAAACGTAACCGAAGCACGCAGTCATTCCCAGGGGCAGCAGGTGCACAGTGTGGAATCCTGGGAAAATAAATCACCAAGGTACATCAGGGCCGGTGATGTAGAAAACCTTAGAGCCTAGAATCCTACAGACAGAATTCTGGATTTCAGAAGCACTGAATTCTAGACTCTGAAAATCCTAGAGCCTCTAGAAGCAGAGATTCATAGAATCTTAGAATCGAATTCTAAAATCTTAGAGTCTAGAGTCTTAGACACATAGATTTCTAGAATCTTAGACTCCTAGAACCTAGAAGCGGCAACTCTTGAAGCCCTAGAATTCTAGACCCTTAGAGTGGCTTGTCAGAAAAAAATCATTTAGACTTTTCTTTTCTTTTAATGGAGCCATAGATTTCAAAAAAACACCTTGAAATGTTGTCTGGCCCAACACCCTCTTTTCACAGAAAACTGAGATCCCCGAGAGAGAAGTGATTCTCCAGATCTTAGAGCAAGTTAGAGATCAAGGTGGGAGTTGGAAAGGCCAGAGTTCTCTTTTCCCCTCCGCTCGGCCCAGATATTCCCAGGGACCCCAGCCTGGTGACAGAGAAAGCCAGGGGTGCCCATCTCTGCTCCCCCCGGCCCCCACTGCCCCGTGTCTCTCCCTCCTGCCCCCACAGACGGCCCAGAGCGCGTGGCCATCCTCCAAGACTCCACCACCCGCACGGGCTGCACCATCAAAGTCGACTTCAACACGTCCCTCACCCTGTGGTGCGTGTCCAGGTCCTGCCCGGAGCCCGAGTATGTGTGGGCCTTCAACGGGCAGGCCCTAAAGAACAGCCACGACCACCTCAACATCAGTAGCATGACGGCTGCCCAGGAGGGCACGTACACGTGTATTGCCAAGAACGCCAAGACCCTGCTGTCCGGCTCTGCCTCGGTGGTGGTCAAGCTCTCTGGTGAGTCACCCCCAGCCTGACCACCACCCCTCCTTTGCAGGCCCAGTGAGACGGTGGAGGTGAGGCCACCATGTGCCCAACAGAGCACTGGGAAGTGGTGGACTCCCAGTCCACTCACGGGAAAAGTGACAAAGTGGCACATCAGGGGGAACCCCGCCTCATCCGGGTCACCTGGAAAAACAAATGGCAAATCAGATCCTCTTCCTTGAGGGGTGACAAAGCGAGAAATGGGTCACATGTCCCACACTGGGGGGGAGGGGCAGAGTGGGAAACCATTCAGATGTCACTTCACGTGGGTGCCCCTGTTCTAAATCCAGTCACCAGCTGCTTAGGGGCTTGACCCCTGCCACACAGACAGCTGAATTTCTGTGTAGCCAACTAGACTCCCCGGATATCTGGCCCCGACGACGGGCACACGAGTGACTGGAAAACCACGGCCAATTGTTGGCACGCAGAGAAACAGCTGGGGAGGCGTCGTCTTGTTTCTGTACTGAAACGACCTTGGGGCTGGGACTAGTGCAGACAGCTGGTGCTCTCAGAGCCATTGCGATCCTCAAGGGACATTTTCTCATCTGCTGGAGATAGTGTCCTTGAACATTAGGGCCTCATTAATTCCACCTCATTCCCTCCCAAGCGGCTATCATCCCCTGGGGACAGTGGGAACAGTCCTCCCTCCCTCCCTGCCTCCCACTAACAGGCTGGGTCTCATCCAAAGGGTGGATACTCTTTCACCCAAAGCAGAAATGGCATCCCTAGAGGTAAGTGGACCTCCTGCCCCACCCGCCGGGGGCCTTGGCAGCTGGTCTTGGCAGGAGACAGGGGGGTGGACAAAATGACCTCAGGCACCACCCCAGCCCTGCCTGTGCAGGCCAACGTGGGGGGTACCCAAGGTGTGCAGGTATGTGCAGGGCCTTGGGTGCCCCCAAAGGCCTCCAGTACTATCAGCAACTCCATGGCAGGTGCTGGGAGGGAGACAGAAGAAAGGGAGACACCACCCTTCCCCCACCTTGGGGAGACTCTGACCTGATGGAGGAGGCATGGTCTCTGCCCTTGGAGAGGCGGTCCTGGAGCAGGGTCACACGGCCCCTTACTCAGGGAGCTGCCAGTCAAAGAGAAGCAACAACGCCTCATCCTCCAGGGGCTTCCGGGCTGCGGTGGGGGAGACACGACACCCACTCTCGGTGGCTTCTGGTCAGATGGAGGGGACACCGTTCACACTTGGGGAGAATCTCCATTCTGACGGGGAGATTGAGTCTCGAGGAGACAGGGCCCTGTTTCGTGAGAATTCCTAGTCTGATGGAGGAGACACGGTTCTCACCTTTGGGGTACTCCTAATCTGATGGAGGAGTACGGCCCCCACTTTCTAGGAATTTCCGGTCTGATGGAATAGACATTCTCTCCCAAAAGATGGGGTCCCCAACTTGATTGGAGAGAGCCAGCAACGATTTAGAATTTCCCAGTCTGATGGAGGAGACAGGGCCCCCACCTTGTAGGAATTTCCAATCTGATGGAGGAGACATGGACTCCCACCCTCTAGAACCTTTCAGTCTGATGGGGGGAGCTGTAGCCCCACATTCTGGGGTCTCTCGGTCTAATGGAAGAGACACAACGTAGGGGACACAGCTGACGGGGGAGACACGGCCCTCACATCCTGGAATTTCCAGTCTGATAGGGGAGACACGGCCCCTACATTTTGGGAATTTCCAATCTGATGGGAGAGACATGACTTGACCCTTGAGAGTCTTCCAGTTTGATGGGAGAGGCGCCCCCAAAAGCTGGAGATTCCTGGCCTGCTAGGGGGGACACAGCCCCCTGGCAGGCACCGTTGGGACACAGAATCCACCTCCACCACCACACAAGTCACCTCCTTCCTCGGTCTCCTTCCCAGCACCCCAGGTGGGGAGTGCCAGACAGCTGGGGGGAGGCAGGTGAGCCGGCCAGGGGTGGGAGGGGGCGCCGTGCCGGACACAGGCGGGGCTGACCCAGCGCCCCCTCTCTCTCCCCAGCTGCGGCGGTGGCCATGATGATCGTGCCCATGCCCGCCAAGCCGATGGAGGGCCAGGACGTGACGCTGACCGTTCAGGGCTACCCCAAGGACCTGCTGGTGTACGCCTGGTACCGCGGGCCCGCCTCCGAGCCCAACCGGCTGCTCAGCCAGCTGCCCTCGGGGAACTGGATCGCGGGCCCCGCGCACACGGGCCGGGAGGTGGGCTTCGCCAACTGCTCGCTGCTGGTGCAGAAGCTCAACCTCACGGACGCCGGCCGCTACACGCTCAAGACCGTCACGCTGCAGGGCAAGACGGAGACCCTGGAAGTGGAGCTGCAGGTGGCCCGTGAGTGTGCAGGAGGGGCGAGGGGCTGCCTCTTTACAGACACGGGCTCCCAAGGGGGTTCTGCCTCCTCCGTGAGGCTGGGGACAGAGGCCAGAGACGAGCATGCCTCCCCCATCAGACTGCAGGGAGCGGCCTTGTCGCCTCTGTCTGACTCGGGGGCCCCACATGGGGTCCTGCCTCTTCTACCAAACTGAGGACCTAGGCCAGGCGTAGATAGACCAATGGGGGCTTCCGCGCCTTCCCTCTGGTATAAGAGGTACACCAAACTGGAGATTTTAAAGAGGAGGCATTGTCTGAGGGGGAGGCATCCTTTTCCTGCACAGAGGTGGACCCTAAAACATAGGAGACATCACCTCTTTCACCATCTGGGAAGATGAGCTAATAACGAGTTTACATCCCCTATCAGACTGGAGGGATAGAGGAAGGGTGAGTCATGCCTCCCTGCTCAGGCGAAGAGACGCTGGATGGGGACCGTGTCTCCTCCTTTCTATCACACTGAGAGTGGGGACACAATTTCTACCATCAGACAGTAGCGTTTAATCTCTCAAACTGAAATAACGATGATCTCCTCCATTAGGATGGAGGGTTCTGGGTGTGGAAATTGTGTCTCCCCCATCAGACTGGGGGCTCCCAGAGTCAGGGACCGTGTCTCCTCCATCAGACTGGGGGCTCCCAGAGTCAGGGACGAAAGAATTCTATTAGCGAATCTCTAAGTGTCCTGAATCCACCAAACCCAGTATTTCTTCCTAAATCGACTGAGACATAGCACCATTCCAGTCAACTATTTAAAAAAGGAGCAAAACTCCAAGAGCACTCAAAGGAGCATCTCACAGCAAGCATTACAGCCCAGATCGCTCTAGGCGAAGACCACATATCACCTCATACTCTACCATTAGAGTAAAAACAATCAAAACATGCAACAAATGTGATATGATTCAAAACATACCCATCTCCCAAAATTTTATACCCCACCTGAAAGATTCCTGAATCTAAAAAAACTTGACACAGGCAATTAAAATATCAAGAAAACTCAACAGCGCAGGCAACCTCCAAATGACAGTGCGGGAACACCACCTTTAGATGCACCTGTGGATGTGCCCAACCAACGCCATACTTAGAGGAAAAGATTGACACGTATGATCCCATGAGGTCCCGGTCCAAAGATAATAGATCACCAAGCTTGAAAAGAACAAACACGAACCTAAAGTATAAACTCGTTGCAAACATTTCTCCCGTATATACCCCACACTGCTAAGCAAACCGAAACGAGGGAAAATCCACAAATTAAGCCAAAAAGAAAAAGGTAAGGAATTAAGAAGTAAACAGAAAATGAGTGGAATGTGAAACAAAGCACCATAGTTAGTCAATAAAACCTAAAGCTGATTCTTTGAAAATGCCAATGAAATAGACAAACTTTTTGCAAGTGTGATCAAGAAAAAAAAAAAAGAAGCATAAAAAACAATACAAATAAGAGAGAGGAGATGATATATAGATAAAAGGGTCTGGTTGAAGTGAAGGGTGCTCATAAATATAGGATGAAAGAAGGGCCTGTTGTGTTGTGTCCAGCAGCCACTCTCCTCCTTCTTCCATGATCAGGCACTGCTCCCTCATATAGGCCTGGACATGTCAGGTATCACTTCCAGGATGCCTTGCAGCTACAGGTGGCCATGTGACTGATTCGAGCCAAGAGAGGAGAACCACCTAAAGTCCCACCCACTGACTCCAAACTATAAGGGGGTACTAAGGGAGCTTTTTGGAGTTTGAAAGCGATTACTTTTTTTTTTTTTTTTTTTTGATGACAGATCTCGCTTTGTTGCCCAGGCTAGATGAGGC